CCTTACTAATGAGGTTTGATCAAGCCAGACCACCTGAAACAGAGTACCAGGTGATCCTACATTCAAAACAGCGGACAAAGCAGCCTTATAGACTACAGCCAGGATTTCGGCATCTTCTTCGAATCCCCCATGACAGCGCCCTTACCAGCAGGAAGTAGTTTGGAAAGAACGACGCTCAAATTCCCAAATATTGTCTATAAATGTTTGTTTTCAGTTAAATGGACTTGGTTATATAAAATAAATAAATAAATAAATACACATTAAAAAAATACAGGTGAGTTCAGGGGGAAGCAGGACCTAAGCATCTGCTTACCTGGGGTACCTGCAAGCTGCATGCCATATAAGCTACCTGATAGTTTAAATTTTTAGTGAACTGCTAAGGGTCAAATGTAGGTTAGTGTGAAAATGTTAAGTTCTTGGGAACTGCAGACACTGGACATTTCATTGGCTTTGTAAGTTTTATCTGTAGGAACCATACAAAGCTCTCACAGAAGAAAGGTCAAAAGAAATTCCTTTCTTTTCAGGATGTTGGCTAAGGAAATCACTGTGAAATCCACCCAGATTCATTTCTCACAGAAAATGGTTTCGTTTTCAGGTGAAATAAACCAAATCCTGCATACACTGGAGGGGTTTTACTTCAATTAGGTGAAAGGAAACGTGGGGACCATCAAGTTCTACTTTTTATCTATTCTCAACACAGATCCACAGTGCCTGTCAAAGTTGGAGCTTAATCAGAATAGCAAAGATGTCCCTCACACGAAGCTCAATCATCTCACTAACCAGCAAAAGAAACTGACATGTGGCCTGGAGGGCAACAAGAGAGACTGTGTCTGAGAATAGGAACAAAGGGAGAATCCAAAGCCAAGTGAGAAGACAAAGACAAGATACAACCAGGAAAGCTTTAAATGAGGGGTACATATAGCAACAAAAAATAGCAAGCACAGATCAATTCTTGATTAGATAAAACTCTCAACACAAAAGACCCAAGAAGAGGAAGCATCTATTATCAAGGTTGAAGAAAAGTATATTTACCTCACCATCTATATAAGAAGAAACAGCTGAGGACTCCACTTACTCCACCAAACAACTATTAAAACAGAACCAAACCAACATTCAAAAATTAATGGATTTTCTATATACCAATAATGAATTTACTGAGATAGAAATCATGAAATAAATCCCATTCACACTAGCTATGAAAAAAACAAAAAGTCTCATATAATTTTTATCAGGAGATGTAAAGAAATGTCTGTTCACTACAAACGAGAGGTTATCAGCAAGCCAGCAGGATCCTGTCTAAATCCAGTTTGGTGAATAAAAATGAAGTTATTTAGACATAGTTATTTAGACATAGTTATGACTTATTTAGACATAGTTGACCCAAAGGCAGCTACACAACTGATAAATTCAGAACAACTTATGGGCAGCTATCCCATTGGCTATTCCCACCTGCAGCATGAAGAACTCACAACAAGCTGTACCACTGGATAATCCTGCTTGCAGCATGGATGACTTAAGAAGCTATGCTATTTCAGTTGCCCAGGAAATGTACAGGCAGCTACCAAGATTTCACCCCAGCCCATCTGCTTTCCTCTCATATATAAACTTAAGAAGGGTCTTTGGGAGGATCTTTTTACCCAATGACCTCATGAACCTCTCCACTCTTCCAACCAAGAATATTAATAGACCAGATCCTGTGACAGTCTTATGAAGGCTTCATGAAGATCTTGAAAGCCTATGAGCCTCAGAAGCCTCCCTTCTCCTTCCATGCAGGAATGTTAATAGGCCAAGTCTCATAAAAGTCTCATTCAAGTGATAATATCTGCTCTGATTCTAGAATTCTAGATAGTAATGGCTCCACATTTCTCCAAACTCACATTCTTTCCATGACTTCTTCTGCAGTGTTACCCAAGATGTGGAAAGATAAAAGTATATGATTATTTTCTTCCACCTTTGGCAGCTGGGTATACCATAGCCAAAAAAAAAAAAAAAATGTAGAACACATCAACAGAAATATTCCTTGCAGTTTAACCAGTTATGAATCTTCTATAGGAACCAACTCCCACTGTAAAAAGAAGTGTTCAGGCAACAGTGGTAATCTATAATCCATCCTGTGGACTGAACTCAGAGGCTGTCAGACCTGTTAGCAAGCACCTTTTTACCTATTGAGCCAATTTGCAACTCCAAAGCATCTTTTATGTTAATAAAAGAAAAATTTGCATGAAATATAGTTAATAGATTACACAGACCCAACTCTAGTCCATCCAAACTGTTCTCCTTACCAAATAAAGATCAATTAATAATTTCTAACTCCCTAATATCTGTTTTAAGCACATTAAATTTTATTTTAAACACCTGTAATATGGGATTTTTTTTTTCAAGACAAGGTTTTTTGATGTAACCCTGACTGTCCTAGAACTCACTCTGTAGACTAGGCTGGCCTAAAAACGCACAGAGATCCACCTTCCTCTGCCTCCCGAGTCCTGGGATTAAAGGTGTGCACCACGACTGCCCAGCCATGCTTTTTCTAAAAACAAAAACATCAATATTTCCTTTACAACAATCTTGATTAGTAGGCAAAGAGATACTTAATTTCCTTATGTTTTTAGCACCTGAAGAAAAACCCCCTAAAACTTTGTTTTACATACTAAATGCAAGAATCATCTGGAAAGGCATTCTTGATAGAGGTTAAGTTTTCTAGTCCCTTCAAAAAGAAAAAGCATTTAGGGGATTCTAGCATCTAGGTTATCCTCCAGGCTCAGTCCTTCACTTGCTAAGTAGAATGCTACTGTTTAAAAAGTGAACAAAGAATTTTTTTACCTGAAAATAACTTCATAGAAAATATACATTTAAATGAAAATAGAGGGAACTATTTATTCTTAACTACAAGTTAGCCCATCTTCAGTAGAGGCCTCCAGTGATGAATCATATAACTATGAAGTGGGGTGATTAAGCACAGCATTTTGCCAGTCTCTGCCTAAGTCTGGGTCATGGAATGCAAGCAACCAAGCAGAAGTCATTCAAGAACTTCTTAAAATGTGTCTCTGTTTACAGCTGACCTGAACAAGGGGGAACTCATGGATCCCCAGACTGATAGCTGGGAAACCAGCACTGGACCGACTCAGACCCCCTGAACATGGGTCTAAGTTATTAAGGCCTGGGCAGTCTAAGGGACCTCTGACAGTGGAACCAGGATGTATCCCTGGTTCATGAAAGGACTCTGGGAACACATTCCCCATGGAGGGATACTCCTTTAAACTAGAGGCAGGAGAGAAGGCCCAGTCCCTACTCCAAATGACTTGACAGATTTAGATGACCCCTCCAGGAAGGCATCATCCTCCCTGTGGAGTGGGGGAGTGGGAAGGGAAGGGATCAGGGGTATGGAAGGGAGGAAGGGAGGGAGGGAGAGAGGGAGGGTGAGGGAACTGGGATCAATATGTGAAATAAGAAAAAAATGCGTGGCAGGATGTTATGGGGTTTAATTGGGCAATACTGCTTTAATCTAAGCCACATTTAACTCTGAGAGAAAGCCCAAACGATGTATGTATTTCAGATTTAAAGTTTGTTGTGGATATTTTGAAATGATACTCACTAGGACCTTTACATGGTGATATTTTTGTTTTAATGACTTACATTCACATTATCCAGAAACTGTAAGCATTGAGACAACAGTACCATAGTTTCTGTTTACATATCTTCACTTATTTAACACAGCCTAAAAAATTAAGAACATGTGAAAATAACTGTCATAGGATGAGGTTTCATTGTCTTTTTTTTGGACAATACTGGCATGACCCTGTTTGCTCCTCTTAAAGTTCAAAATATTATTTTATGTTTTGACTCAGCTTTTGCCACTGTGTGTATTGTCTTATAGAACAAAAAAAAATTGTCTCTGTTTAAACATTTTTATGTGCTCTTGCTCATTCCTTTTACAGAGGATGAAACCCAAACCATGTGTGTAAAATATATGTGTGTGTGTTTATATAATCCATATTCAAACTGACAGATTGCCACAAGACACTGCCCTCTTTATAGATCCTTACTGGTCTATAGGCATTCTTGTGCTTTTTATCAAATGCTTGAGTGAACTCAGTGAGGTTTTTTGTTTGGTTGGTTTGGGTTTTGTTTTGTTTTGTTAAAGAGGATTTGAAGGTGAAAGGGGAATGTGGTAGTAGGGGTCTGGGTGGAGTTGGAAGGAGGGAGTAGGGAGTGGATATGACAAAAATACATTGTGTATATGTATGAAATTCTCAAAGAATAGAAATGATTTTAAAAGAAAAAAAACGTGGAGGCTACATAGATGGATCTGTGGTTGCGAGCACTGGTTATTGTAGAGGCCCCAGGTTCGATTCCCAATGCTCACGAATGTTGAGTAGCTCCAGTTCCAGGGGATCCGACAGCACTGCATGTACACAGTGCACAAGCATGCAGACAAAGCAGATAAAATAAGAAAAACAATTAAGAGTGGGTACGGGGCTACAGAAACGGATCAGCATTTAAGAGCAGTAAAGGCTCTTGCAGGGGACAGGAACTCCGTTACTATCACCCACATCAAGGAAGCTCACAACTTCACGTAACTCCAGTTCCGCTGGCGCGCTTACTCTTCAAATAAATAAATTGTAAAACTCCTCTCCCTACCGGCGCGCTCTCGCTCTTGCTCAAACACACAGACATAGACACAGACACACACACAGAGAGATCAAATAAATAAATCGTAAATGATTAAGTCCCTCTCCCTACCTTGCTGTGCGTCCAACCTCCCTCAGAACCCGGCAAATCTCATTAAACTTTATCTGAAGCAGCTACCCGCCGGTTGGCGACCACTGGCCGGCTAGCAGACAGCTAGCCTGCTCTCTGGCTTTGTAGAACTCTGCTATCAACATGAGTTCTTTAAGACCGCCGCCTGCAGCGCTTCTCTTTAATTCCATCTCCTCTCATTCGGGACTGACCCTCCCCACCAATTTGATTGGCTCCCATGCTGGAAACACGTCATCTATCTGAGCCACCCGGAAGCCGCGGTTCATACTAACCTTAGGTGGCTCTAAGGTAAGCATCGCGTTTGGGTACCGGTGAGTGACTGCTTCTTAGAGTCGGGTTGGGCAGAAGGAGGAACCCCGTAGCGCGAGCCGAAAGAAGTCATCCCCAACGTTAAGAGGTGGGAGAGAACTTTGTGAAGTTAAACAGGAGCGCTCAACGTGGTTTTTCTCCCTCCTCACTCCCCAGGAAGCCCATCATGGCGACACCCCCCAAACGGCGGGCCTTGGATACTGTAGGAGAGAAAGTGCTGCGCTACGAGGCCTTTATCAGTGACGTACTGCAGCGAGACTTGCAGTGAGTGACAACGCACGTGGTGGGTGGGACAGAATCCCGGCCAAACTTTCGGATTGGCCGGGAAGACAGGTTGACGTCCCGGCTGCGATTTGATTGGAGCTTGGCCCTTGTAAATCGAGCCTCTGATGGTCGTTTGTCGGATTAAAATCGTCATTACGAACCCACGACATTTCTGCTGGGCCATTTAACCATTATTTATGAAAAAGTTGTATATCATCGCTCCTCTCTGTACTTTATAATCTTTGCTCATCTGTTGAATGTGGAAGTTTATGGAGCCTTCTTAATGTGGTGGTATTGAGTTTTAAATGTGTCAACCCACATAAAGATTCTAACCCAAAGCTTAGAGTTCCAGAATGAATGAGGTAGAAGCAGGAGGATCTTCGATGTTGGAGACCAGCCTGGAATATAGACTGACTGTGTCAAAGACAAAAAAGTTAGAATGAAGCCAGGCTCAGGCTCTGTGGTGCCTGGCAGTAGTGCTGTCTAGTGGAGAGGTGGAAAAAATTGTTTCTTTAGCCAGGATGTTCAAGCCAGCCTTAACAATAGAGCACAATTTTATTAAAAAGTAAAAATAAAAAAGCCCAATGTGATGACACAGGCCTGTAATCCCTGTACTAGGGAAGGGTGAATCAGGACAATCTGGAGCTCAAAATCATCCTCAGCTATATTTTCAAAGATGAGTAAAACCTAGACTCTGAGACTGTGTCTCATAGAAAGAAAAAAAAAAATGAGCCACCAAGATGGCTTGCCTTGCCTCCATGCCCAGAGCTAGCTCTTTGGAACCCACATAGTAGAAAGAAAAAACTTCCGAAAGCTGTCCTTTGACTCACATGTGTGTAGCATGGCACCCGTACATGTACACAAAATAAATACATAAATAAGAATACTTTTTTAAAAAAATTCACATAAACCCAACTGCAATTGTATTATGGCTGAGAGGAAAGGACTGTCTGATGTGGTCACAAATTCAATACTAGCCTGGGAAACTCAGCTCTTGTCTCAGAAAATAAAAACAACTAACATGGATAGTTGTTTTGAAAAGGAATTTAGCTCCAGTGCCTGAAACATACTGAAGACTCACTCAATAACTGGATGATTGTGATTGCTGTCATTATTAATCTGAACAGAAAGTTGGGTGTTTAGAATTAGAGCAGTGTGAGCATCATAAACGAGATGGAGGATATATGTAGGGTGAAGATGGAACATTTTAGTTGGCATAAGGCAACTAAATTTGTATATTTGTAATAGTAATACAAAGTATATAGTGTTTACCATTTGGCTAGAATTTAAAACACTTTGTAGTAAACACTTAAGTTCAATGGCTCCTATGAGGTAATACTGTCATCTCTATTTTATATGTGGGGAAACTAAATCCCAAACAGGTTTCCTAATGTGAAAGTCACATTGCTTGTAAGAGGTAGAGCTCAGGTTGAAATACTTGTATTTATTGAAATACTTGGTGTGTCTTTCTCTGTACCCTGCTCTCTTGTCTCTCTCTCTCTCTCTCTCTCTCTCTCTCTCTCTCTCTCTCTCTCTCTGTGTGTGTGTGTGTGTGTGTGTGTGTGTGAGAGAGAGAGAGAGAGAGAGAGGGTTAGAGAGAGAGAGAGAGAGGCTCTCACTATGTAACCCAGGCTAGTCTTGAACTCAATCTTCCTGCGTCAGTCTTTCAACTACCACACTTGCCTTAAAAATGCCTGTTAGGTCATGATGTGAGGTATCTCAAGAGGAATAGGGCTGCCTAATGTTCAGTGTTCTATTTTCTTGTATCAGAAAGGTGCTAGATCATCGAGATAAGGTATATGAGCAGCTGTCTATATACCTTCAACTGAGAAATGTCATTGAGCGACTCCAGGTAAGGGCTTTTAAATTGGGTATCAGTTTGTATATGTATATGGAGAAATATGGGAAGAGAAACCCCAGAGCAAAACTTCTTATGTGCCTTAAAAATTGGACACTAACACCTACTTCTTCTTTTCTCCTGGCCCTACAGGAAACTAATCACTCGGAGTTATATATGCAGGTGGATTTGGGCTGTAACTTCTTCGTTGACACAATGGTGTGAGTGTATTCCCTCCAAGTTTCTTCCTTCGTTCATGCAACAATTTTTCTTAATATTTTCTATATACCAGACTCTGGTAGCTGTTATATTGCATTAGGATATGAGCGACATGCTGTAGGTGTGACAGTGAATGAACATAAAATACTGGCCCTTACAGAGCCTTTACTTTAGGGAATTGGAGGGAATAGGATATACCTTAAACTGTACAGTATGCTATATGGTAATAAAGACTTCCTCCACTTCCTCTGACTTCTTTCCTCAGCTCAGATACTTCCCGCATCTATGTGGCCCTGGGATATGGTTTTTTCCTGGAGTTGACACTGGCTGAAGCTCTCAAGTTCATTGACCGAAAGAGTTCTCTCCTCACAGAGTGAGTTCATTCCATGAGAATAGTGTCGAAATCACCTACATTGTCTCAGGGTGCAGGGCAGTGGTACAGCATTTGCCTAGCACATGTAAAGTCTTGGGTTCTAGCCCTATCACACAACATAGACAGACACACGCAAAATACATGAAAGCCAGATATGGTGATGCATACCTGTAAGCCCAGGACTCTGGAGGGTAAAGCAGGAGGATCTTGAGTTTAAGGCCAGTCTGAGTGATAAAACAAGACACTGTAAAAAAAAAAAAAGAATAAATAAACATCACAAAATTTAACACTCTACCTTTCCCCCTCCCCATGACTACCTGGAATGGTACTTATAAAACCATACTACCTTCCTCTTTAGGGGTAAGACTAAGAAAAGTGAGGATGCAAAGTTCAACCAGGGTATAGCACATGCGAAACAGAAGAGTCGTACATTCTAGGACTATGCTGTTGTATGTACATCTGTGACCACATCCATGAGGTTTCAACCCAAAGAAGCTACTTCTCACTTAACTGTCTGCTAATATTTCTGCTTATTCACAGGCTCTCACCACTCTAAACTTCACATGCCTTTACCCTCACATGCAGAGATAATGCCCTCTTCTATTGCTGGCTGCCTTATTCTCTTGTGATAGGATCTCCACCAAACCTAGAACTTGCCACTGTTTTGGTTTTTTGTTTGTTTGATTGATTTGTGTGGTTTGTTTTGTTTTGTTTTTGGCATTTTTTTTTTTTTTTTTTTTTTTTTTGGCTTCAGCAAGCTCCAGTGCTGGAGTTAGAAGTGTGTGATTTTTTACATTGGTACTGAGGATCCAAACTCAGATCCTTATGCTTGTACACAAATGTTCTTGTCCACTGAGCCACCTTCCCAGCCTTAATGCATGCTTTAAGCATTTCCCACCTTTAGGAGCATTCAGTAGCTACTGGTGTTTAAACCACTTCCCCCATATGGTTTCTTTTCTCCTCAATCAGTTTTCTTGCATAAATAATAATCCCTCCGCAAGTTCTTCTGTGACCTAACTTTCAATTGCAACTCCTAGCACTCTTGAATTTCCCCCCTCTACTTTTAAAAAATTATTTGTGTGTGTGTGTGTGTGTGCGCACTTGTGCTCATATGCACATCTCTCTAGGTATGTGTGCTGTAGCATGCATGTGGAGGTCAGCAAATAGCCTTGTGGAGTTAGTGCTCTCCTGCCAGGGATTCCACAAATGGAACTCAGATTCCCAGGCTTTTGTGACAAGCACCTTTACCCACTGAGCCATCTCACAGCCATCTTCTATTTTTTCTGTTTTTCCGGGATCTTATTATCTCTTAATATTTACTGTGAGTTTCTTTCTTTTTCATGTTCATTGTCATTTGTAATTAGGTAATAAACATTATTTGCATTTTTTATAAGACTGGAACTTAAAGCCAAGATATCTTGTATGTTACACAAGAGTCTTATTACTGAACTATGTCCCCAGCCCAGGTTTATAACTTGGCATTATAAAGGGAAAAGTTTTTGCTGTAGATGACTAAAATAGTATAAAGCACAAAAAAATCTGTTGAATGAATTATGCTAGAAGCAAATTGGACGTTGATTGAAGCTTATCTATGTGGGTAGTGGTGGGGAGGTAAAAAAAGTATGGGTTCCAAATGAGATCTGGTTTTGTGTATGGAAGAACTAGTTTGGGTGAGGGGTTTGAAATATAGGTATTGTTGTAGCTGGGGAGATGATTCAGCAGTGAAAAGCACTTACTACTCTTGCAGAGAACCCAGGTTCTATTTCCAGAGCTCACATAGTGATTCACAACCTTCTGTAACTGCAGTGACAAAGGATCTGATGCCCTCTTCTGGCCTCTGAGCATCAAGCACACAAATAGTATACAGACATGCATGCAGGCAAACATCTATACTCCCAGAAGAGTGACATTTGAGTCATACTGGGTTAATCCATGAACTATCTGTAGAAAAATATTCTTGGCAAAGGGGGCAGTGTGCCTGGCATGCCAGAGAAACTGTCACATGTGACATAGCTCATAATGAGGATGAAGGGGCAGTGAACAGTAACACTTAGATAAATAATCACTCACAAGCATGAACGCCTCCAATGTGAAATTTTTCTTTGGCCATGCTTATTCCTGCATTCATTTTGTCTATAGTTACATCCTTTATGGTTATTCTCTTAAACTTTCCAGAGTTTTTAATTTTAGTAGACCTGAGAACTGCTGAGATTTCTAAATGTTGGTGATCAAACAAATTGGCAAATATTTTGATTAAGTATAACATGAAAAATAAAGACGCAGAGACTGATATTGGGGTTCAAACTTCAAGCTGGAGATCAGAAAAGCAAAACAGCCAGTCACTAGCCCTTACCACTGCCTCAGGCTTAAAAGGGTTGATCCCATCTCCACGAGCTTTCCACCAAGCCTCAGACTAACTGCCTCTCCTCAATGTGGCTGGAGAAGCAATCTCAGAATGGCTGGGCTCCTGTCATTTATATTCCTCTCTAGGGTTGGGATTAAAGGCATGAGCCCTGTTCATTTTTTACTGATTCACTCTTGTGTAACCCTGGGTGGCCTTGAACTCACAGAGATCTACCCTGAGTCCAGGGATTAAAGGTGTGTGCCACCACTGCCTAGCTTCTATAGCTAACTAGTGTGGGTGGCTTTGCATTCTGATACTTCAGGCAGTTTTTATTAACTCATAAATAATATATCACCACAATCAACAGCAGTCTAATTCTGAGCTGCTGGCCATTTAGAACAGGTCTAGTTTTTATAGTAAATTTCCCTCCTATGTCACGGTTTCAGGGTCTTTAATGTTTTTCTTTCATAGAATTGATGATTTTCTTCAAAATGAGGTATTCTAAGTTATCAGTGCCTATCAGAAAAACTCTTTGCCCAGTCTTTCTAATTTTATTCTACCAGTATGATGAAATATGTGCCTGACCTCATATTGCTCTGTTATAACTAATAGGGCTATCTCAATGTTTCATCATTCTATATTAGGATTTGAGTCCATGTAGTTGAACTTTCTATTTAAAACTTGGTTACTTCATACAAACATATTTTCTGATTGCTTTGTGTATCCAAAACTGCCTGCCAGTACTTAATTGTTTTTAATGTATTTCTTTGTTTATAATTGTTACATGTGTATACGTGTGTGTATACGTGTGTGTGTGTGTGTGTGTGACATGTATATATAACATACTGAGTCCACTTAGCTTTGTTTGTATGTATATGTGTACAGGACTGACCACTTGGGATTGGGCAACATAAAGTAGACTGATTCTGCCTCTTTCGGCGGGCATTGGCCACTTGTAGTTCTTCATCTAGAGGTAGGCCAGTACAAAATTTCCTCTTTCCACTTTGATGTATCAGTTGGTGTTGTCATTATGCTGGTCTTATATTGTTGGGAGTTCATGTGTTTAGCTTCTCTAACATGTCTAGGAAATATCTAACAGCAGACATTCTGAGCTTCTGACTCATACTCTATCCACCCCTTCTCTACAATTTTCTCTGAGCCTTAGGTATAGGGGCTACATTACAGATGTATCTGTTGGGGTTGGGCACCTCACACATTCTTACTCTCTGCATTTTGGCTAATTGTGGACCTCTGTGATAGTCTCCCATCTATTGCAAAAAGAAGCTTTTGAAATGAGAGGGTGACAGATACACTCATCTGTGTTTAAAAGGATGTGTTTTTAGAAAACAAATTATAGGCTCTTGGGTCTGTGACCACTCCATGGGTAGTTAACTAGGTTTACAGTACCAGACCTAAATTCCTTCCTGTTGAGTAGGCCTTAACTCCAGTGAGACAGGTGATAGTTAACTTCAAGATAAAAAGTGTGACTCTTGCAGCATTGAGAATATATTGGCAGCAAAATCATTGTTGTGGTCCGTAGGTTTTACCGCTGGGTAGAACTAGGATTGATCCTCTCCCCTGGCAGCTTACCTAGCACCTATGAAAGCCAGTCCTCAGGAAGGAGACCTCCAGATTATTTCCAGCTTGATTGCTCTTAATTCCTGTGTCTGAAGGATGTGGTATTTTTAAGAGTGGATTCTTAACCTTCAAGTTCTGGGAGGCAACCAAGAGCAACAGCAATTGCTTATACTGTTTAGGGAAGTCTCTTTAATTCCCCTGACCAACAACTCTACCGTGATCCAGGCAGGAAGATCTCGAATTGGAGGCCAGCTGGGCTATGCCTGTCACTGGGGTTTTTGCTAGATATTTATACATATGTATGTGTGTGTGTGTGTGTATATATATATATACACACACACATACATACATACATACAAACAAACATAAAATAGTGTTTCCCTGTGGCCATTTTAACCATCCTTGTGTTTTTATGCCTCCTCTGTTCTTCTTCCTCAGTGCGTCTCTCCCTTCCTAGGTAAAGCCTCCCCAACTTTTCCCATTTCCCCATCATAACACCTGTGACCTACTGTCCCATTCTCTACAGTTTCTTCTCCCCACTACCTGGTCCCTTATTTTTCTGGTTTCTATGGTTATTCCAGCTTATATACTCACAATTAAAGATTTGGAGCTAGCATCTACAAATAAGAGGAAAGTTGCAGTGTTTGTCTTTCTAGGTCTTGATTACCTCACTCAGTATAATATGCTCTAGTTTCATCTATTTACCTTTAAGTTTCTTTTTTGTTGTTGTTGTTTTTGTTTGTTTGCTTTGTTTTTTGTTTTTTGTATCCCTGGCTATCCTGGAACTCACTCTGTAGACCAGGCTGGCTTCAAACTCACAGAGGACCACCTGCCTCTGCCTCCTGAGTGCTGGGATTAAAGGCATGTGCCACCACTCCATGGCTGTAAATTTCCTGATTTTGCTTTTCTTTATAGCTGAACAGGATTCTGTTGTGTATATGTACCTCATCTTCATTATTCATTCATCTAGTGGGGGACATTTAAGTTGATTCCTTTTCCTAGCTATTGTGAGTGAACAGAGCAGCAATGAACATGACTGGGAAAAGGTATATTCTTGGTCTCCAGCAGTAATGCCATGCTTCATATCTTGTCCTAATCATAGACTAAAGTTTTTTTAAAAAAAAACATTTTAGGTTCTTCTGAATGGAGAAGTCTTCATTCATTCAACATCCATTGGGTCCCCATTCTGTGCCACATTCTCTTCAGGTCCTGTTTATACAGCAAGCAACAAAACAGACCACAGTCTGCCCTCAAAGCTGTCATTCTGATCAAAGGAGGCAATAAGTAAATAAGGCCATGATGTAGTGTAATAGATGTTGATAGGGGTACAGACAGTACATAATAGAGATGGGAATTGTTGCTTGGAATGGAACAGTTGTGGTGTTGAATGGCTGACTGGATATGAAAAACAAAGAGGAGCCTTAAGCTACTGTACATGTCAGACAGTAGTAGAATGCATAACTGGGGTGTGTGAGACCCTGAGTCCAGTGCTAGTCCTGCAAAAATAGGAAACTCTAGGTTGTTGCTAAGCAACCATTACTTCTGTCTGAGATGGAACAGCGGACCAGGAGGGAAGAACTGGGGCTCAGTGTAGGACTTAGACACTGAAGTGGGATTTTGAAGATAGTTAACAATATAAATTTGGAAAATAGTAGTATATAGTGAGTTCATAGTGGGCTTTTTCCAACTTAACTTTCTAACCCATTGCCTTGGATTATGTTCATTTGTTTTGTTTTTGTGAACTATTTAGTTTCATTTACCCAGATCAGCACAATTAAACTGGATTTCCTATCATGCTGTCAAGATTCTGCACTATCTAGCCCTTCTCCTGCTTCCACACTATCTTATATTATCTCCCTTAACTACTCACTTAATTTCTAACACTGACCACTGTTCATAATGCTCTTTTGTGCCTCTTGGTCTTTCTGTGCAAAAGACCTTTCTATTGTTTCTTTTTTAGTCTTCAGAAAGTTATTCCACAGCCCACTGTATTCATTTTTGACCCATTGTATACATTTGAATTCTCTTGGATTGGACCTGATTCAAGCAGACTTACACAAAGAGAGATGACTAATTTATGGAACTCAACAGTACAGGGCTATGATGGTTTTAGAGGCATCTCCATTTGCTCAAGTATTTTTATGCCTTGGCCTCTTCCTAGAGTCCTTTACCTCGCACCTGACTTCAGCCCTTTGGCCCTGCCTTCAAAATGTATCCCAAACTGATTCGTTTGTCATTACTTCAACTATACTGTTCCCTGTGGTCTGAGCCTCCATTTTTCACCTGGACTGTTAGCATTACCCTCTTCACTGGACTTACTGACTTTCTTGTCCTGTGGATTGTTTGAAACCCTAATGAGTTTATTTCTCTAATCAATGTGTGTCTAACCTCTCCTCTCAGCTGTTCCCTTGTTCCCACCATATTTAATGTTAAATCTAAGGTCTTTACCATGGTTCTATAGACTTTACATCCTCTGCCTCCTTCCTTACCTCTCAACTTCACCTCTTAGAATCCTCCTTCACATATTCTCCAGCTACAGTGACTTCATGGCTGTGATTTCTTCCTGAACCATACCAAGCACACAGCTAACACCTTTGTATTAGCTACTACTTGTGGTTGGAGCACTTGCCTTCCATATCACCTGGAGCACCTACACTCAGGGGTACATTTCCCACACACACAACAGACAAATAATTAAAAACTGAAGCTCCAGAAGAACAAGAATTTTGTTTCATTTACTGCTGTTTCTGCTGTTATTTCTCTAATATTTAAAATTAACTGGCATACAGAGGGCATTCAACAATCTTTACTTTTTATTATCATATAGTCATTGTGATGGGTTTCATAGTGACAATTTCAAGTGTAGTTTGATCATATTCATAGACCCCATATTCCCTCCTTTTCCTCATAATCTTAAAAAATATGTTACTACATTTTTTTGTGTGTACATGTGAAGGTAAGAGATCAACTTTTGGAAGTTAGTTCTCTCCTCCACTATGCGGGTCCTGGGGATTGAACTCAAGTTGTCAAGCTTGACCGTAATCACTTTTACCTACTGAGCCATCTCACTGGCCCTATTGCCCTCAGTTTTTAAATGGGGAAATTCCAAATAGCCAGACATCTCTTCATAGGAGCAGACCACATGGAAGTCATCCAAAATGCAAGCATTTCTTGAAGTGATGAGGAAAAGTCATCCTTATAAGCCTAAGTAGGGCCCACTTTGCCCTTTCTTGTTCCTTTTTTCTAGGCTCAGCGACAGCCTCACCAAGGACTCCATGAATATCAAGGCCCATATCCACATGATGTTAGAGGTGAGAACAGCTCACTCTACTCTACCCTTTAAATATTTTTAGGGTGATAACCTGAAGGAGGGAGCGGTCATCTTTCCTTCTTAACTGAAGCCATGGGAGTAAAAAACAGCAAACCTGCTGCAGGACCTGGACCCAGCCTCTGTTCAGTCTACTTTGTCCTCTTTTACAGGGACTTAGAGAACTACAAGGCCTGCAGAATTTCCCAGAGCCATCTCCCCATTGACTGCTTCATCCCATCTAATATTAAAGAGCCTGAATGCCTTGGAATCACATAGCCCTTCCTTTTCCCCTAATTCTCACTGATTGACTTAGTACCCTGGAGACCAAAGTTACTGGAAGATGCATCCTCTCTGTAGAACCTCTAAAACACCCTAGAGGTCTTGCCTCCAATTTGTATTTTCCACCTGCCTTTATGCGTTGCCCTTTTTTGTCATCTTTGACCCACCTCCTCACACTTTTAATTCCTTTTCATAAATATTTGTATCTGTGCCCTTTATATTACCATAAAGAATGTACTGATTCATGAATTGGGGATGAAGTTCAATTGGTAGAGTGCTTGCCTACCATACATGAAGTTCTAAATTCATAGGAGATCTACCTGAGTGGGATCAGGAGTAGGCAGGAAGATAAGACGTCCAAGGTCATCCTGGGCTGCATGAGACTCTTGAAATTTTTTTAAAGTGCCAATTCAAAGTGATTTGTATTCATGGCCATTAGCCCTTTACTTCAGATCTTAAGGTTTATTATCTCTCTTTCACAACCTTGATTTGTTCCCTAAATGGTTCCAGTAGTTCTAAATAGTTCTAGTTTCCACCAAAAGGCACAGATCCTGCTCTTGCTACAGGGCATGAGTCCAGTCTTAACTAAGAACCAAGTTCCACCCTTACAGCTCTGGCTGCAGCTTGACCTTGCCCTTGCAGACAGTTAATCTCCACCCCTCAACTCCCCTGTATATCTGGCCTCCTACCCCTGCGGAATTCTAAATTCCTCTTGCCTAGCTAATTACCATAGCGTTATCCTACCCTCCTACAGAGAGTCAAGCCCTACCCTGCTGCTATTCCCAGTTCTAAATAAGTCCTGTTTCCGCTGAACCACATGGTGTGCAGCACCACCTACTTTGGTGTTTTGGCAGCTGTCTCCGTGTCTCCACCAATCAGCTGAAAGCAAAGCCCATCCACCGCCCCTTCATCCTCTGGGGTTGTCTGTCTGCCATCAATCTCACTTAGGCCAATCGGTGTAAACTAGGCGCCCTTCCCCCCCTCCCAATCTTGGCACTTGGCCACAAGTCCTCCTTGACCCAATCAGGATGAAGCACCAGTGCCGCCCGATGCCTCTCTAGTTGACCATCCACAGTCCATCAATCCCCTATAAGCCAATCATGTCAGCTCTGTTAGGATTCCACCACCAGGCCCCGAAGCTGTGCCTACATCCTTGGCTTTTTGGCCAATCAGCGAACAGCCGGACGCTCGGCTCCTCCCCTGAGGGCCCACGTGAGCAGTGGGGAAACGCAGGGGCGGCTTCTGGGTGCTGCCGCCGCCACCACTGCTGCTGCTCCAGCCTTTGCTAACCACCACCGCCGCTGCTGCCTTGGAACTCGGGCCTGGGGGGCGGTGGGGCCTCGTATGGAGCCCCCGCCCCCCGGAGCTGCCACTGCCACCGCCGCGCCACACGCAGGTGAGCCCCAGGCCCACAAAGTGGAGGGCTCCGTCCGTGACCCCATGTATCGTCGCCCCCGCGCAGGGGATGTGGTTTGGCCCAGCCTGATGGTGTTTGGTTCCACTGCCACCAACTGATTCCCCATGTGTATGCATTGACAGCTCCCTTATGGTGGATCTGAGTGTGGCCTAACCTGCCACGCTCTGATCTGTGTAATGGATCGGTCTGCGAGCTTATATTTTTCCTCACCCCAACTTAATGGACTCGTCCGTGGTCTTGCCCTCCCCAACCCCCACTTACTGGGAATCAGTCTGTTATATTGTCCAGTCTTACTTTAGTAGTAGCTGCTTCTAAAGTGTTTACATGTCTCCTAGCCTCAACTTTAAGGGGATCCTCTTGGCCTTGTTTATTGAGTCCCTCATGTTTGTTGTAGTCAATCAATCTGTGGCGCTATACCCCCTCCTGTGAGTCTGCCTGAGTTTTTATTTCTGCCCCCTTGAGTCCCCAGTGTATAAACCCATGACTTTACCCACCACTGCCCCCATCTTACTGTGGATTAGTCTGCATGCTTGCATTCACATTCTTCTAGCTAATGGTTCCCTAACTTTTCTCCCTTATTTGTAGACTCCGGCCTTTGTGCTGCTTCCTTTTAATAATGGGTCAGTTTGGTGCTTTGTATTTGTTTTTTAAAAAAAAATTTGGCACCCCAGTCTATGTCCTTGCCCTGTCCCTCATTTTCATCGTTATGTGATGGCTCTTCTTCTCTGCTATTGTATAGGAGTCAACTTAAACTATATCTCCTTACTTTTGCAATGGTTCTGTTCAGTGGCCTCCTGTCACCTCAGTGTTTGCATTCTCTCATATCCTTCTAAATCCAGTGTTTGCAATCCCTCACCAAGGAAGATAGGGCCTCCCGTCCATGTGTTGGATCAATTTTCCCTTCCTCCATTTCTTAGTGATCCTGTGCCCTTGTGAAACCCAGGGACTTTTACTGTACACTTTACATGTTTTCTTGTAGACATTCTTATTCACTAAGACATTTTGCCTTGCTACAGTTCTCAAGTACAGTAGTGGTACTGATGTTAATGACAGTCAAAGTTAACCTTTCCACTTTCCACTTGCTGTGTACCAGGCAGAGTGTTCTATGGTCTCCAGCTTGCTTAGTCCTCATCAAAGCCCTCTGAGATGGCAGCTGAGAAAACTGGGCCATATGTAGATTTAAAAACCTTACTCAGAAATGGTCCAGTAACTACTTGGAGCAAGGAACATTTTTGAAGTGTCCCTCTCTCACCTCATTGTATCCCACATGAAAGCACATTCCTTAACAGCCAAATTAGTTCCAATTGCCAGGCTTTTGTTTCTGTTGTTCCTTCTGTCAACAGGGCTATCTCCATTCCACACTGGTCTCAAAACCCATCATCCCCCTAGTTCCAACAGTGCTGTGACTTTACATGAATGGCTTAACTACTTTCTTCCTGTACTATCCTGAAAGGGGGAGTCAGAAACTGTAATCCTTTCCAGTGTAAAGAAAAAAACCTGTGAGTTAAACAAGTCACCTCATTCCCCTCCCTATTTCAGACCCATGGTATAGCCTCCTCTTCACTGCTTCTAAAAAACAGCAGGTACAGCCCAGCCTCAGGGCCTTTGCATTGGATCTTTCTCCCTTAACACTCCCATATTTCCACATGGTAACTTCCAAGGTCCCTTTCAGGTACCATACCCAAAATAATTTTTTCATCCCACTGTACAGGGAACACACTACAAATGTTTCTTAGAATACCATTTGATTTGCAAGATGAGTGTTAAAGGGAGCGTTAATAGAAATGTAACATTGGTGATATGAAAAGGCACAAATAGAAAAGATGTTTCAGAGAATGTTTTCATTTCTTTGCATCTGGGTAGTGTTCTTTCAGTGAAACATGTATTTGTCACACTGGTGATTGAAATATACTATATAAAGGCACATGAATAAAAATGTTTCAAAGGATACTTTTTGTGTGAAAACAAAATAGTCAACATTCACCCCTCCCCTTGACCATCTGATTTTGCGCACTCAGCAGGGTTCGGGTCTCTTCCTGCTTTGTTCCTTTCTACTTTGTCACTGTTAGAAATGCTACACAATTCATATATTGTCTGTGTCTCCTCCTCGGGATGGAGGTCCTATGGAGACTCATGGGTTTTATCTGCTTATTCAGTGTTCTGTCTTCATCTAAAAATGTACCTTCTGTACAGTAGGTACTTAGAAGAATTGGTTGCTCAAATAAATAAGAGGGAGATGTTATCTAGGCTGTGACTGGTAGCTCACAACAAGAGAGAGTTTTCAGGAAGTTTCAGACCAACCTGGACTACAGAGAGAGATCCTGACACAAAACTGAAAATTAAAATTGAATCCCAGATATCAGTATGGGGATGGAGCAGACAAAAAAGAAGAAAAGGGATATAAAAAAAAGGTATTTGGGCTGTTTAAATATTAAAAGGTATTTTCTAAGCACCTAGAGAGTACCAGATATTCATTCTAGATACTGGCCAAATGGAAAAGCACAACAGGCAGAAATTCCTGCACAAGTGAGGGAGACAGACTACATAAACAGGTAAAATTAGTGTGTTATACAAATGCTAAGGAACAAACATGAAGTGGGGCAAATAGGACTAGAGTTTCAAGGTGTTTGAAATTTAGGGACAAGGCAGGCTACACTTGGAAATATTACTCTTGAATTAAGGCCTGAAGGAAAAAGGAAGGAGCCATAATGTATAAAAGAAGAATGAACCACAAAGGACACTCAATTCAAAGACCCTGAAATCAGATTGTGCCTGCCACGCAAGCAAGTGTGCCTGGAAAAGAGTTGAAGGGAAGGGACAGAAGACAAGGTCATAGAAATGATGGGAGCAGGATGGTAGAGTCCTACAGAAGGTTGAGGGGGAGGGAGAAGGATGACATACAATCTAAGGGCTAACATTGAATATTTACCATATGCTAGAGACACTTTCTTAAGTCTTTTACATATATTGGCACATTGAATCCTCATAAAAAAAATCTTTGAGGGAAGGCATGTTTTTTAAAATTCTTTTTTGATTTGAGAGTAAAATACCCTGTATTTTAGAGATATTCAACCAGGCATAAAGAGGTTAAGCAACTTGCTCAAAGCCACAGACAGAGCAGGGCAGAGTGTGAGGCTGTGATGACCAAGACAGAACAAATTTGCAAGGACAAACAAGTTACTTCATGCATTGATCATGCAGAGGAAAAACTAATTCTACCTGCTAGGGGCTAGAACTTGATGATATGATAGAATCACTCCAAGAGGAAATGTCACTCCTGGCAGAGAATATTGTGTGTCTCAGAGAGTGGGCCTTATCCTAGGAACCATGATGCCCCAGGTAGCCCCTTCAGAGTTTATGTAAATACTATTCCCTTTACCCAAATTATCCTTACCATGGACATCAATATGACTTTATGACTCCCCTCCATTAAATGTCACTTGCTCAGGGAAGCCTGTCCTACTCACACACATCCTTGTCACTCTGGGATCTTGTCCATCTATGTTTTCTTCATAGAGTACCAGCCTTGATTAGCTAAGAATGCTGACTCAGAATTTGTCCAGCATCCAGCATCTCATCCAATAATAAGATCTTAGGCAAGTTCTTTTACTTTTTCCACACTTACTGACTTGACTGGAAAATGGAGGCAATAATACATTCCACCTTTTGGAGGGTGGTTGTGTTGTGTTTTCTTCTTTTCTGAGACATTTCTTACTGCCCCATGAATGTAAGAATCATACTAGCATGCAGGGACTCCTGTCTGTTGTCTTCCAAGCTGTTTTGAGGCGACCAGTAAATGAGGCAATGAGTGAAAGGAAAGCTTTTTGGGAAGGGCAGGTGACTAGGATACTTGTTAGGAGTTGTGTGAGAGAAGCAATAATCAAATTCAGCCCCTTGTCAGATAGGCTGGACACTAATTGAACAAATTTCACTCAGCTTCTGGATTTTGGCATAGCTCAGAGGAGCTGGTGAAATTCCCTATCTTTACCACTAGGAGTCATACTGGACTCTGGGCCGCTGAAAGAAATCAGTCTTAGGTATGTATATTTAGTCTGTTAGAGCTCTGAGGAGGGGGCTCTGACCCACTGTTCCTTGGCACTGTAATTAGAAGAACTGCCTAACACTATGTCTGCTAAATGAACCTTGAACTAGCTCAGACATATGAGGACCATACTGTAATTTCATGAAGATTAAAGAACAAAGCTATAAATATGAATCACAAATTCTTCAAAACCTTAAAAGGTTTACTCTTAATGTAACAGTCCCAGCCAGGTGAACAGCAGGTTGATGGAGTCCTGTCTTCACAGGGATGAGAAGGTTCAAGGTTAGTTCCAGTTTGCTTATCAGAAAGGGCAGTGATAGAATGACAGGGAACATCCTACTTCTGAGAGACCTGCCTAAGAGTAAACAGTTGTGGTGATATTTGGTTTGATTTTGTTATTTTATTGAAAATAGATTTTTTTTCCTCACACAATATATATTCTACTTACAGTTTCCCCTCCCTCTTACTCTTCCCACCTGCCTTCCCATCCAGATCCATTCTGTTTCTGTCTCTCATAAGAAAACAAGCAGACAAAGCAAGCGGTGGTGTGCACACCTTTAACCCCAGCACTGGGGATGCAGAGGCAGGAGGATCTCTGTGAGTTCGAGGCCAGCCTGGTCTATAGAGCAAGTGACAGGACAGCCAGAGCTGTTACAGAGAAAAACCCAGTCTCAAAAAAGAAAGAGACAGAGAGAGAAAAGAATGGAAAAGAAAGGAAAGGAAGCTGGGCAGTGGTAGCATATGCCTTTAATCCTAGCTCTCAGGAGGCAAAAGGCAACTGGGGCTAGAGAAGAAAGAAAAGAAACAGTCTTCCAAGGGATAACAATAAATTATAATAAAATAAAGCAAAAAACGTACGCATTGCAACTGAACAAAACAGAAAGAAAATAGCCCAAGAGAAGACCCAAGGAACAGGGAATCATTCTTTTAAACACTAAGGAATCCCATAAAAAAAATGGAAGCCATAATACATACTCAAAGGACCGGATGCAGGTCATAGTGACCCATACCTATAATTTCAATACTAGAGAGGTGGAGACAGGAAAATCAGGAGTTCAAGATAATCCTCTGTGTGGCAAGTTTTTAGGCTAGCCTAGGCTATATGAGACCCTGTCTTTAAAAAAGAATAAATAAACAGAGCCACTTAGAACCCTGGAATATACTTGGTTCAAATGCAGGAACTGTCACAGCAGTGGAGCATAGGGAAGTCACTTGGACATCTTTTGCTTCATTGTATAAATTAGCTGTCTCGTGTATAAATTATTGATATTATAATATCTCCTTTCCAAAAGGAAAAAATGCCTACTTTCCAGAGTTGGAATGAGAGATAAGTGAGTCAGTGTCTCCAAAAATAACAGCCCATGCCTTTATCCAAAATCCCAGAGACCAGATGTATTTCAGAATTGCGAATTTTTCAGTTTAGAAAGGTAGCAGGGTGTGCATATGATATGTTACATAATATCCTCAGCCAGCTCTGTCACCAGCTGCTTTCAGGTCTCTGCATTAGAATGTATGAACATTCACACTTAAGGAGGATCAATAAAAACCAGAATGTGGCTTGCTTGCTTTCAGATCATGTTTTGTTGCCAAAAGAATTACAGAAAAGCCTTTTGTTCTTAGAACTTTTTGGATTTAGAGATGGCAAAAAAAAAAGGATTTATGAACAAATCAGAAAATACCTAAAGCTTTTAGCCCAAGCTTGTTATATTTAGTTCACACAATAATGATGCATAGTCCCTATTTTGTAGATGGGCATGTCATTATCCCTATTTCACAAATGAGAAAATTTGAGGTACAGGGAGGTTAATGAAGATGGCTAGGATCACATGGCTAATAACTGGCAGACCCAGGATTCAAACCATTTAGGTTTAGCATTAGACTGAGGTTGATTGCCCAGTATGCTAGCCTAGCTTAGAACAGTGCCTGACATAAAAGGTTCGTTTAAAGAAAGACATAGGTTTGTGGTGACACTCTGTGATAGAAACATGTGCTTAACATATGGCCCTGGAGTTAATCTCCAGCACTGCAGAAAGAGGCAGCTGCCATGTGTGTGAGATATATATGATCTCAGCACTTAGGATATGGAAGCAGTAGCATCAAAAATTTGAAAACAGCTTGAACTACCCTGTCACAAAACAACAGCAACAAAGGGGAAAAACCCCAAGAAGGATGTAGCCCCACCATTTCCTGGGGGTCTATAGGCCCTTAATGTTTACTAGATGAAGAAAAGACATTTTCTTCAGTGGTATAGCCATTGATAAGGTGTCTGTGCTCCTGACAACAAACCCTCACCCCTGTGAGGAACTCTATTGAAACTCAATGGATCACAAAAAAAAGTCATGAAATGCAGAGACCTAGTTGGGAAGAGGAAGGTGATCAATGGGAAGGGAGGGGAACTGGAGTTCAAACTTGAAACTGATGATCAGAGAAGCAAAGCAGCCTGCCACTAGCTCTCACATCTACCTCAGCTCAGACCAATGGGACAATCCTCAAACTGCTCCAACTTCACTGTTCCTCAGATTCACTCAGACTGTTATACTCTCCTCAACAAGGCTAGAGACTAATTCTCAGACTGAGTGCCAGCTTTGAGACCCTGCTCCTGTCTGACATACCTCCCTAATGCTGGGATTAAAGGCTGAGATCACCTTTGTGTGAACTGTTTCTTTTAGGACTGAATCAATTTCATGTATTCATTGTGGCCTTGAACAGCAATCAGTCTACCTCTTAATCCTGAGTCCTGGTATTAAAGGTGTGCGCCTGGCTTCTATGGCTAACTAGTATGGCTGCTTTGCTAGCTTGATCTTCAGTGGCTTTAATAAATCATTTAATAAATCACCACAGGGAACAGGATAGGGTAATGGAGGTGAATTAATCAAAGTTATTATAATGGAAATGTTATAATGAAACATTATTATGCATAATTAATATGTGCTCATCAAGAAAACTTTTTCAAAAGCCTAAACTATACAGGGACAATCACAGGTTAGAAGAATGGGAGATTGAAGGACAGAAAAGAGTAGGTATTCAGATTTGGAAGGCTTCGTAAAGCAAAGGACCTTTGAGTAGACTCTTTTTTGAGGATGACTTTACAATAGAGGAAAGGAGGCCCATGTGCAGTGAACAGTGTTTACAAGGGGCTAACAAAAGGCATGTCCTAGGAAAGTTAATGGGGTAGAAGATAAAGAGTCAAGGAAAGGACATCTCACTATTTTTATAATACTGCTGCATAAATTATCTCAAACTTAATCTCCTTTGAACTATACATTTGTGTAGGTGCATACCTGTAATCCCAGTACTCAAGAAGCTGAGACAGGAGTTCAAGACCAGCATGGGCTACATAGGAAAATCCTGTCTTTTAAAACAATTATACATTTATCATCTGATAGTTCAGTAGCTCAGAAATCCAACACTGTTCTCACCAGGCTGCCTTTAATGTCTTGGCAGGACTTTAGTTCTTTCTGGAGGAGAATTGTTTCCTGTTCATTCAGGTTGTCTTTTGAGTTGTAATACTGATGTTTCTTTACTGGCTGTAGGCTGAGGGTCATTCCAGGTTTGTGAGGCTGTCCAACTTCCTTGTCTTAGAGCCTTCTCCAGAGTTAGGAATGACAAGGAAATCCCTCTGATGTTTGAAATCTACTCCCTCTCCTGCCCTTCTCACTCTAAACTCCGGTTCCGCTTTGTTTTTCTACTTTTAAAAGAGTTTATACAGTGCAGTTGACCTTAAATAAAACCAGTAAATGATGTGTCTTAAGGTCTGTAAACTTAATTTTATCTCAGAATTCCTTTTTGCTATGTAGCATAACATAGTCAGACTCCAACTAGGATATGGACTTTTGAGACTCAGGTTGTCTTATCCTGTCTTCCCTCTATCTCATAAAGATACACATTTGTCAGGGTTGGCAGTGGCGGGCTTAATGGTAAAGAGTGCTTGCTGCTCTCACAGAGAACCAGAGTTCAGTTCCCAGAACCCATGTTGGGCACTTCATAAGTACCTGTAACTCTAGTTCCAGGGGATCCATTGCCCTATTCTGGTTTCCATGGGCACCCACACACATTCACATAAACACACAAAGACATACATAAATATCTTTTCTTTTGTCCCATGTGCGAAATACAAGGGTCATCCAAAGCTAGGTGAGTTTAAGAGACTGTTTAGGGAATAATAGTGGGATTTGGGAACAGAAGTGGAGGCAAGGTAACAAGAAAGAAATTACTTTTGCTGTCCTCCAGGTACCCCTGGAATGGCGTGAATGCTTCCCTAGTGATGGACCCATCTGTGACGCTGTGGCAGTTTCTGCTGCAGCTTCTGAGAGAACAAGGTAATGGCCACATCATCTCTTGGACCTCACGGGATGGTGGTGAGTTCAAGTTGGTGGATGCAGAGGAGGTGGCCCGTCTGTGGGGACTGCGCAAGAACAAGACCAACATGAATTATGACAAGCTCAGCAGGGCCTTGCGGTACTACTATGACAAGGTATGGCCTCAGAGACCAAGACTGGAAACCTTTGAAATTACTACCAGAAAACTCCTCTATTGTTTCCCTTTTGAGGCAGGCTATCACAATATAGTCTAGATTTGTCTGAAACTTACTATGTAGCCTAATCTGGCCTCAAATTCACTGCCCTCCTGTCCCCTACACCACCACCACCACCACCATCACCCTACTTCCTGGAATTACACTTTTGGCCTAGAAATTTAATTTTGTTGTCTCAGTTTACAAGCCATAACTTGTAAAACAGTATTAAAATTTACCAATTTTTGACCCATCCTCTAGTTCTCCACAGGCTTTGAGATAATAAGTGTTTTTTCTAGAGCCCTCAGACCAATGTTGTGTCCCCCTGGTTACTTTAAATATATATAATCTTCTCTCATTATAGAACAATCCATATTCTTATTCCTAGACTCAAAATCATACTGACATAATATTGTTTCCTTCCTTCATTTTCTAGAAGCCCCAATATCTTTAACCAATTGTTTTGTTTTCTCCTATTCCTTTAGTTTGTTTTTATTTTGGAGGCAAGTCTCTTGGTATTGCTCAGGATGGCCTCAGACTTGCATTCCTCTTGCCTTGGTCTCTTGCGTGCTGGGATTAGAAGCCTTTGCCTTTAACTGAATGCTCCAGAATAACATGTGTAGTGCCAGCTCCATGCCCACTCCGCTTAGATTCCTATTGCAACTCAATTTTCAGATTTCCCCATCTTACTGACTCCCAGAACTGCATTGTATTTTCCCTCCCCCAATATTTATACTAATTTCATAATTCCTCAGTATAGACCTTCAAAAGAATATTAATAATTATCCCTTCTCATTTCTCCTTCTGAAAAACACAAGGATACTCTGTGAAATACTTAACCAGCATTAAGACTTCCACCAGAATACCTAGTGTCCCCAGATTCCTCATTTGCCCTTCCAAAATAATTCTCTTGTGCTTTGTGTCCTTGCTAATTATGGCATATATTCCAATTTCATACATTACTTTTTCAGTTCAGACCTCTAAAGCAATATTAATGGCTCTGCCCATTCTGGTCCTCTGAGACTACCAGGACATCCCTGGAACCCTCCAAACCATATGTATCTGTCTTCGTTAGGGTTTCTGATGTTGCAACAAAACACCATGACCAAAAAGTAAGTTGGGGAGAAAAGGGTTTATTTGGCTTACACTTCAGCATTGCTGTTCATCACTGAAGGAAGTCAGGACAGGAAATCAAACAGGGCAGGAACCTGGAGGCAGGAGCTGATGCAGAGGCCATAAAGGAGTGCTGCTTACTGGCTTGCTTTCCCTGGCTTGCTCAACCTATCTTATAGAACCCAGGACCACCAGCCCATAGATGGCCCCATTGGCTAGGCCCTCCCCCATTGATCAATAATTGAGAATATGTCTTACAGCTAGATCTCACGGAGGCATTTCCTCAACTGAGGTTCCTTCCTCTGTGGTGGTGACTCTAGCTTGTGTTAAGTTGACATACCAAATCACCCTGTACAGTGTCCTGAGAAATCATAAAAGCAGGCTTTCTGACCCACCCCAGCAAACCTTGTTACCCTCCTCATGCTTATACCAGCTTCTCATGCTCTTCTTAGTGCTTTAGCTTAAATAACCAGAATGGTACTAATAATGAGACATCACCTATCGTCTTTACTGATTTTTCTATCATAGTTTATTTCCTTGTTAAGATAAACACAGTGACTAAAATCAACTTGGAGAAGAAAGGGTTTTGTTTCCCTTACAGTTCTGTATAACAGTCCATCATTGAGGGAAGCCAGGGGAAGAACTCAAGGCAAGAACCTGGAAGCAGGAACTAAAACAGAAGCCATAGAGGAAGACTGCTTACTGGCTTGCTCAGTATGATTTTTTTATACAACCTATGACCACCTGCACTGGGTGGTAACACCCTGAGTATGCTGGGCCCTACCACATCAAATCTTTCCTATGGGCAATCTGATGGAGGTACTTTCTCAATTGAGGATCCTTCTTGATGACTCTAGATTATATCAAGGTGACAAAAAACTAACAAGGACATTTGACCCTTTATGTCGCCTTGACACACCAATACATCACTTTTGAAGTATAGTCTTTAACTTCTTTTTTATCCTCAAGATGTCATGTTAATATCAATATCACAATATAAAACATAACTTTAAAAATCTCAGTCTTTTGAATACTTTAAAGGTTCAGTATCTTTTAAAAATATCAGTGTTTCTCAACTGTGAGCTCCTATAAAATAAAAGCAAGTTAAATACTTTCTTACTCTTACTCCAAAAAGGAAGAGCCAGTTATAATCAAATCAAAACAAGACCAAAATCCTAGCAGTCTAAATTAAATCCTGTAGCTCAACATCTGTCATCTGGGACTCACTCATGATCTTTTAGGCTCCAAAGCGCAGCTCAACTTCTCTGGCTGCACCATCTGCAGCATATACAGCTTGTCTCCTAGGCTGTCTCCACATCACACTTGTCACCATCCTTATTGGTGGTTGCACAGTCTTTGTTTCTCTAGTAGGCTAGGGTCTCCACTGCAATTAAGGACGTACCCTCACTGGCCTTCACCACTGGTTTCTTATCATTTCTGTAGGGACTCTAACCCTATCATGGTGTCAAGCCCCAGCTTCTCTCCATGACCCTTTCAATCCTGGAACATCTTTTGCAACTGAAGCTGCATCTTCACCAGTGACCTCTCCTGGCCTCTCACAGTTGCTTTCCACAACCCCTTCAGTACCGCAGCTTTCATGCTATTAAACTAGATACCATATGGAAGGCTCTTACACATTGCCCAGTTCAGCTATCAGCATATTATGTAGCCTGGGCCCCCTACGGACCACAGCTTCTGTGCAATGACTCTGTGGAAACACTTGTTGAAAGATTTCACCTCAGTGCTCTGAGCTCTTCTTACTCAAAGCTGATCTTTTCAGCCTCTGGTAATCAGTATCAATTGTCCCAGTAAAGCAAAGGTTTCACTTCAGTTGTGCTAGTTTCTTGTTAATCACAAGTAGTTCTTCACTTCCAGCTAACCAGAAACCACAGATTCATAGTACAAAATATCACATAAATGGATCTTTTAGAGACTTTAAGGAACTCTCAAACTTCCCTCTGAAAGTTCACAAGCCAAGCCTCCATCATCTGCACTGCTCTCAGCATTATCTTCCAAGTTCCCTCCAAAGCTCATTGGAAGTTCTGAACAGTCCAAAGTTCCAGATGCCACCACAGTCCTTTCCAAAATAACATGGTCAGGTCTATCACAACAATAGCCCTGCCTGGTACCAATTTCTGTCTTAGTGTACTTCCTTTTTTTGTTGTTGTTGTTGGTGGTGGTTTGTTTGTAGGTTTTTTGTTTTGGTTTGGCTTTTTGTTTTGGTTTGGGTTTTGTTTTGTTTTGAGTCAGAGTTCCTCTTTGCCCGGGTTGTCCTAGAATTCAGTCTGTAGACCAGGCTAACTTCAAACTCACAGAGATTCCCCTTACCTCTGCCTCCCAAGTGCTGGGATTAAAGGTGTACACCATGCATCTTAGTGTGCTTTCTATTGCTTTATGGAGGAAAGTCAAGATAGGAACCTGGAGGCAGGAACTGAAGCCAAGTCCATGGAGGAGCTTGCATTTGATAGCTTGTTCAGCTACCTCTTTTGTATAGCCCAGGACCACCTGTGCAGAGATGACACCACCCACAGCAAAAAAAAAAAAAAAAAAAAAAAAAAAAAAAAAAAAACCTACAGACGTTCCTAAAGACAATCTGATAGAGGCACTTTTTTCTCAGTTGGGTCCCTTTTTCCCAGATGACTTTAAGCTAGAGTTAATGAAAACAAATAACCAACATACTTTAGCTATTCCATTATCAGCATCACTAACTTTAAAAAAGTCCATATCTGGCCAGTGAAATGGATTAACAGGTAAAGGCTCTTGTTGCCAAGCCTGAAAACCTGAGTTCATTCCCTGGGGGGGAAAAAAACTCTTCTGCAAGTTGTCCTCTGACCTTTACATGTACTGTGGCATACTCGTGCCACCACAGTCAATCACACTAATTCCCCTCTCCCACACAATCAATAAATTGTTACAAAACCTTCTATATCAATCATTTTATCTCCCTATTCATCTACAACAGTTTAGTCTCTTCCAACATGTATATCAGTTATTTCATTTTCCTATTGCAGTAGTTAATTTTCAAAACAGTTCTGTTAACATTCTTGACTCTGTTAAACCTAGGTCCTTAGTTCTCACCTGCTTCCCTAAATTGGTCCCTTGTGAAATGTAGCCAGTGGGGAAAGGGAAGTTAGACGGATGAAGATGAGTGACAGAAGACTTGAAGGGAGATGGATGGGAAGGACACTAAAGAATTGTTGAGGGGAGCCAGAGAAGGAGTTAAAACTGGGCAAAGAGAGGGAAAAAGGAAAGAATAGACAGAGAGGAAGAATCCATCAAGCTAAAAAAGATGAGTGAAATGGGAGCAAGTGGGAAGAAAAACATCAGGAGAAGAGAAAGAACCCTCAAGACCATCCATCCACTGTTCTTCACTTCTCAGAATATCATCCGCAAGGTGAGCGGCCAGAAGTTTGTCTACAAGTTTGTGTCCTACCCAGAGGTTGCAGGGTGCTCCACTGAAGACTGCCCACCCCAGCCTGAGGTGTCTGTAGCCTCTACTGTAGCAATGGCCCCTGCTGCTGTCCATGCAGCCCCAGGGGACACTGCCACTGGAAAGCCAGGAACACCCAAGGGTGCAGGAATGGCAGGCCAAGGTGGTTTAGCACGCAGCAGCCGGAATGAATACATGCGCTCGGGCCTCTATTCTACTTTCACAATCCAGTCCCTGCAGCCACAGCCACAGCCACCCCTTCATCCTCGGCCTGCCTCAGTGCTCCCCAACACTACCCCTGCAGGAGTACCAGCACCCCCCTCAGGGAGCAGGAGCACCAGTCCAAACCCCTTAGAAGCCTGTTTGGAGGCCGAAGAGGCTGGTCTCCCCCTGCAGGTGAGTACTAGAATTTGGAAATTTAGTAAAGAGCTTGGAGAAGAAGAATGCATAATTCTGAAATGAAGTACAGAACTAGGCAAATAGATACAGGTGTCCTGCTAAGGGTGTAATGGTAGAAGTGAGGACACAAGTTCCCTCAGAGAAGAATCAGGAGGAGAGTTATGCCTTTCTTAGTCCCTTACAGGATCACATCTAATTCACTGGTTGCCATGCTTTAGCACTCATTAGAATCACCAGGATGGCCTTAAGGCACAAATTGTTTGGACCCATTTCCAGAGTTTCTGATTAATGTGGTTATGAGGATAAATGACAGTGGTACCTATAGTCTAAAGTCTCATCCCTGTCAAGTATCTCTGCCACTGCCCCAAAGGATCTCCACTTCCATTAAGTCCCATGGCCAGTTAGATTACATGCTGCATGTACAGCCTTGCCCCCAATATCAGATATTTTCCTAGAGATATCCTTGGATGACCCACAGGAAAACATTTTACACATGAACAGTTTATGTGTTCCCTTTGTACCCACCCCTCTCCCAGGTCATCCTGACCCCGCCCGAGGCCCCAAACCAGAAATCGGAAGAGTTGAGTCTGGAGCCAGGTTTTGGCCGACCTCTGCCCCCAGAAGTGAAAGTGGAGGGGCCTAGGGAAGAATTGGAAGCTGTGGGGACTGCCAGCTTTGGTTCAGAAACTGTCAAAGCTGAACCAGAGGCCTCACCCTCAGAAGGCTTGCTGGCTCGGCTCCCAGCTGTCTTAATGGAGAATACAGCACAGGTGTGTGGCCTCTCTGCCTCTGCCACTGAGATTGCCCAACCCCAGAAGGGCCGGAAGCCCAGAGACCTGGAACTTCCACTTAGCCCAAGCCTGCTGGGTGGCCCAGGACCCGAACGGACTCCAGGATCAGGAACAAGCTCTGGTCTGCAGGCACCGGGGCCAGCACTGACACCATCCCTACTACCCACACATACCTTGGTAAGTGCCTTGCAAAAGAACAAGGACTGGCAGCCTGGCTGAGTGTTGTTGGCACTAATGGCAAGTGTAATAAGCTGATCTGAGGAGCTAATTAAATAGCTGGTCAGCCAGGCTGTTGTGGCACACTCCTTTAATCCCAGCACTAGGGAGGCAGAGGCAGGTGGATCCCTGTGAGTTCAATGCCAGCCTGGTCTACAGAGTTCCAGGACAGCCAGGGCTGCACAGAGAAACCCTGTCTCAAGATTTTAAAAAAAAGGAGGAGGAGGACAGGTTTGAGGATTTTGTGGTGACATGACTTCCTAGGACTTTACATGGGATTTGTTTCTAGAGGGTACCATTGAGGAACTGCCTGGTTATTTAGCCTAGAGTTTGTGTATTGGGTTTCCTAGTGAGGTATATTGGTGAAATATAAAAGTGGAAAGTTGAGTTCTTCTGATGGTCACTTACAAGGTTTGAGAGCAGTGCACAGATAGAATCCAGTGATTAGTCTTACCTATTGAAGTCACAGTAACAGGAAGTGGGCTCCTAGGGGTTAGCAGGAGTCTTCTTTGTAAAGGTTGAGAGATGTCATTGGCATAGTCTTAGTTACACTCTAGAGCTGTAAACTTTTGAGGAGTGACCTTGGAAGTCTGAGGGGTATGTATGGAGGAGCTGAAAGGTTCCTTCCATCTTCCCATACTTGTCATCTGTTCACTTGAGTTCCTGACACTCTATATCCACAGACCCCGGTGCTGCTGACACCCAGCTCGCTGCCCCCCAGCATTCATTTCTGGAGCACTCTGAGTCCAATTGCACCCCGTAGTCCAGCCAAGCTCTCCTTCCAGGTAGGATTCTCTACCCCTACTCCCCATGTTGGAGTCACTAGCATGGTTCTCATCCATGACCTCTCCTTGTTTCTTCCCCCAGTTTCCATCCAGTGGCAGCGCACAGGTGCACATCCCTTCCATCAGCGTGGATGGCCTGTCGACCCCCGTGGTGCTCTCTCCAGGGCCCCAGAAGCCATGACTACAACCACCACCCCTTTTCTGGAGTCTCTCCACCCATGCTCCTGAACTCTCCAGCTAGCCATCTCAAGGAGAAACAGTTCAACTGACAGACTGATGTTCTGGTTGTGGTGGGGTGGATATTCCTAGGAAAGAGGCTCTTTCACTAACTTCCACCCAAAACAGACAACTTCTTTCTTTTTTTGCCAGCCTCCCAGTGGCCGCCTTTACACGCCTCCTTCTTCAGTGGTGGTGGGGGGCGGTTTATTTATTTATTTTTTGAAGGCCACTGGGAAAAATCTGGCCTAACCCTTTTAGAAGAGTGGGTAAGATATTTCCTCCCCATTTATCCCCTAAACAAGACAATCAGGGTATGGCTTGAGAAAGATCTTTCTTTATTTATTTCTCAGCCTGCCCTTGGGGAGTTGAGGGTACCCTGTCTTTCTTTTGAGATATGGGATGAAGAACTAGTTTGTTTTGTTTTATTATTCCTGGCCATATCTGAGTCCAGGGAGCACTTGTGTGATTTAATGGTTTGGGAGTCATAGTCAGAGAAGAATCACACTGTTAAAATAGGAGTTGCTACCTCCCCTAACTTCTCAGTCAGCTTGTTCTTTACTCAAGTAACCTTTTGGCCAGGGAGGAATATTCCTTTTGTTGTTCTTCCCCCTCAGAAGCCATTCCTTTGTCTCCAAATTCCCTGGGGGCCTGCCTATTACCTCCCAATGGAGGGTTTTTTGGGGTGGTGGTCCCCGTCTGGGGGACTCCTCCAACCAGTACTCCAGGGCTCTCTGTTTCCCATCCTCTTCCATTTTGATAGTATAATCTATTTTTAAATGGGGCTTTTCAATAGGGCAGAGGGAAGCATCTCTTCCTATATTTGATGGGTGGGTAGACGGGTGGGGGGGGGAGTAAGGGATTTGGAGGCAGTCTTCCTGCCAACCCCAAGTGTTTATTTTTGATACCAAATGTGTATTTTCAGCTCCCTCCCTCCCAGCCCCCCAATTTCCTGCGGGCGGGTACAAAGGACCCTTGTAAGTGTCCCTGGAGTTGGGAGGGAAGAATAGGGAGACATAAAGCCTGTCTTGTATCAATTCTGGGCCAGAGGGGCTAGATTCAAAAAACTCCCAGGCTCACCTCTTGTCAGCACTGGCCCAGACCAGGCCTGAAGACCTGGGGGGTTGATGATTTGGGGGACGGTGCTACACTCGTCTCCACTGTTTCTTTTACTTCCCCAAAATGGACCTTTTTTTCTAAGAGTCCCAGAGAATGGGGAATTGTTCCTGTAAATATATATTTTTAAAGGTGTTGCTGAAAGCTGTTGGTATTTTTTTCTCCTGGTGTCAGCAGAATGAGCTGTGACAGGCATGAATGTATGTGAAAGACAATAGGGGGAGCAGAGATTAACTGTGAGGAAAGCAGGATGATGGCATATGTCAGAAACACTGACACACACTGCTGATTGATAACCAGTATGGTGAGAGAAATGAAAAGGTTGTAGATTTGTGTGTGGCAGGCGAGAAATGTGACCACAAACATTTTTGTGCATATGTGTGACTGGTCTTATGAGTGGCCTCTAGATGACAACCTTGGGTGTTGTCCTCTGGAACACTGCCCTCCTCCTTTGAGACAGGGTCTCATACTGGCCTTGACTTTACCAGTTGGGATACACTGGCCTCAAAGACCATCAAGCCTCCGAATTCTGGATGACAAGCATGGGCTTCTCTATGACTGGAATTTTTACCATTATTGTGGGGATCAAAAGCATGTTCTCATGCTTGCAAAGTAAATGTTTTATTGACTAGGTCATTCCTCCAGTCCCAACTGCATTTGACAGTATGTCTATGTGAGAAATTGTGGCTGTGTTTCAGAAACTCAACTCAGTGAATAATTACATACTATGTAAAAGCCAGGTATGGTGTCACATACTTATAGTCCCAGCAGAAGCTGAGGCCAAAGGCTAGTAAATTTAAGAACAATCTAGGCTACACAGCAAGATCCTGTCTCAAAACAAAAACCTGCAATGAGCTATACAACATACTGTTTATAGGTAGGGAATGGGAACTACAAATTAGACATTGACAGGTTGATAGCATGGACAGAATGTGTGACCAAAACCATGAGTGAAAGTATGGGCAGTATACCAGTGGAGATTGTCAAGGACTATCATTTGGAGATGAGAAATCTCACTTCATGAAATTAAGTCATGGAAGTACATCTGTAAAGAGTTGATTATGTGAAATAAAATGACCATGAGGGCTCAAGAAGTGACTGAAAAGACACAAGGTATAAAATGTTTCATAGAAACCATGGGAAAGACTGAGAAATGGATTGACTGTGGCTGCTAAAGTCTGAAAGGCTTGTGTGTGAGAGAGAGAGAGAAAGAGAGAGAGAGAGAGAATGAGATTGTGATCCTGAGTCTAGTTAGTGGCGGACTGCTTTGCAATTAACAGTTGCAGCTTCCCCACAGGTTCTGGTGAGGCTGAGGAGCTGGAACACAAACCTGTCTGTGAGGAGGAGAAAAGAAGGACTGTTCACTTGGGACCAGCAGTAGCAAGGACTCATAGTCAGCAGTTGTGAGAGAGAAACTTGACAACTAAATGGTGTCTGAAAAGTATGTAAGTCTGAAACATTTCATAAAACTGAATCAAACCTTATGTATAGAAAACAAAATGAGACTGAGGCAGTGAATTACTTACTGTATGACCACAATCAGGGTATGTGAGAAATGTGGAGGCTATAAAATATACAAATGTATCCCTTGTTGCTAACCATATGGGGAAAATAATGGTGTGTTTGACAAGGCCATGGGAAACTGTTCACAGGAGAGTTCATGAAAGCCTTGTAGCAATTGTGAATTGGTGTCCTTCTGTTATATCAGAAGGGACTGAGGGAAAATGATGGTGAGCCTGAACAGGTGAGTGGACCAAGTGTTCAAGAAGCTGTATATATGTGAAACTCTTTGCTGGGTATGGTGGTTCACACCTTCAGTTCTGGCACTCAAGAGGCTGAAGTAGGAAGATCACTATGAGTTCAAGGCTAACCTAGCTACATCGTGAGTTTTCAGCCAGCCTAGGCTATAGAGTGAAACACTGTCTCAAAACAAAACACAACCCTGTGAATAAATGAGTTGACATAGTGAAAGGTAATTGAGAAGAAAGTCATTACTACAAGAGGAATATGAGGTGTCTGAGGTACTGTGCCTTTGTGTGTTCAGGTAAGAGTCTTCAGAGGAGATTGTAACTCTGTAACAGGCTCTAAATAGGGAATTCTTGAGGATGTTACTTAAGTGGCTTTATTAAGAGAGAAGAGGGAGAAAAAGTGGTGATTTTATTTGTGTAAGAAACTTCATGAGACTTACTTAGTGGTGACTGTACATCAGTGATTGTATATGTAAGAAAATGTTAGGCCAAAAGAAATAGAGAAATAGTTACTGTGATGGTAGGACTGAGGTTATACATGTGGTAAATGAACGTAGTGAGAAAAATTACTGTGGTATTAATGCAAGGTGTGTGTGTGTGTGTCTGTGTGTGTCTGTGTCTGTTAATAGGAGACTAATGAGGCTGGGAATCAGTGGCAGAGACAATGACACCCTGAGTGAATGACAGTGTCTGAGAGGTTATGTAATCAAGCACACATAAATAAGTATGTAAGCCAAATGTGGTAGTGCAAGCCTGTAATCCTAGCACAGAGGAGGTGGAATCAGGAGTATCAGGTGATCAAGGTCATCATTGGCTATTCAGTTCAAGGGCAGTGTGGTCTACATAACCCTATTATCTTATAAAATGAACACAAAATCACATGTAGGTCAGACAAGGTGCCTCAACAATTAAATGAATTAGCCACATAAGCATGGTAACCTGTTTCCCGCCCACATGTTGGAAGGAGAGAACTGACTCTAAAAAGTCATTCTCTGACCTAGTAAAATAAAGAGGTGCCAGCAAGATGGCTCTGTGGGTAAATGCACTTACCATCAAACCTGACAACCTGAGTCTCTGTAATTTATTGTGGTAGGAGGAAAGAACCAACTCCTACAAGTTGTCTTCTAACCTGTACACACACAGACACCAAATAAATAAATACATGTATTTTTTTTTAAAGCAATTATGTGAGCCTGTGGTAGAGACTAGAAATCCAGAACTCTGTATATAGGTGAAAAATTAAGACTTGAGAGAAAGTGATTGAGGTTAAATGAGGCCATATCTGAGAGATCACAGAGTGGATATGCCCAGACCTCCTCTCTTTGCCCTTTTCCTCCACAAGCCCCTCCTGCTCAGTCTCCTGGGTTCTTCAAAACTTGAAATGCTGGGATTCACCAGGGCTTTGCCCAGAACTCCTTCCTCATGCATCATCTCTAGATAGTATTATCTGGTCCTAGCATTTGAAATAGATGCTGGAAGATAATGCCTACTTTTCTTTAATATCCCACTAGCACTTACTAGAAATTCAACTTTTATTTAATTTATTGAGTAGATGTTTGTTGTCCATCTACTGTTAGCTCATGCCTGTCTGGTGTCCTGAAGACCTAGCAACTAACAAATTAGAAGTTTCTGCCCTTCTCAACACTCAAGATTCTGAGGCAGAAGGGGGTTGCCATGAGTTCAAAGTCCCCTTGGGCTTCATAGAAGTACCTTGTTTCAAAACAACAGTAGCATCAAGATGTGTGTGACTCAAGCCTGTAATCTCAGTATGTAGAAGGATTACCATTAGTTCAAGGCTAGACCTTGTCTCATCTGCATCCCTCTAAAAAAAAAAAACAAATAAATAAAACTTCCCTTGTGAGGCTGATAACTCAGAACAGATAAGTAAATTATATCAGGCAGTAATAAAAAAAAAAAAAAAAAAGACTCTCATTTTTTTGTTTAAATAAGTAATCTGTTAAGTAATTTGAATACCTTAGAAATGTGTGAGAGAAAAAAAAAGTGTTGACAACCTTTATCCACAGGGAATCCTATGAGTATTTATGCCATGTAGGAACAAAGGAAACATTGATTTTAAAATTACCAGGGTAAAAGGTGATTAAATAATGGAGCCAGGCAAAATTGCAGTTTTGTTTTTACAAACAGCTGGAGTCTTGGAATCTTAACAAGATCCCTTTATTCAAGGCACGTAGTTAGAAACAAACATATTCTCAGAGAATAGGGCACTTCTATAATGGATACAAATGTTAACAGAAATTTTGTTACCCCTGTCTTAGTTAGGGTTTCTATTGCTATAATGAAACACCATGACCAAAAAGCAAGTTGAGGAGGAAAAGGTTTATTAGGCTTACACTTCCACATTGCTGTTCATCATCAAAGGAAGTCAGAAAAGGAACTCAAATGAGCAAGAACCTGGAGGCAGGAACTGATGCAGAGGCCATGGAAGAGAGCTACTTACTGGTTTAATCACCATTGCTTTCTCAGCCCAAGGATGGCACCACCCACAGTGGGCTGGGTCCTTCCCCATCAATCACTAGTTGAGAAAATGCCTTACAGCTGGCACTGTTCTAATTATTTTAATTCTCAGTGACAAATTGAACTGTGTCAGGTGCTATAAATGTGCTTTATTTTTTTCAGAGCTGGCAATCAAACTCAAAGCTGCTCACATGCTGGGCAAATGGCATGCCACTGAGCTAAACTTCAAGCCATCCCTTTGCTTGTTTGCTGGTTTTGATTTTGGTTTTTTGAGACAGGGTTTCTCTATGTAATAGTCCTGGAACACACTTTGTAGGCCAGGCTGGCCTTGAACTCAGAGATCCACCTGCCTTTGCCTCCCAAGTGCTGGATTTAAAGGCATGCACCACCACCACCCAGCTTTCTTGTTTGTTTTTAAAACAGAATCTTACCTCAAATACCTTAAAACTTGCTGTGTAGCCAAGGATAGCCTTGAACAACTTCTGATCCTTTTGCCTCTACCTCCCAATTGCTAAGACTATAGGTATCCATCATTGTGCTCAATTTATATGATGCTAATTAACAAAACAAAGGCTTCATCAATACTACACTAGCACTCTACCAACTGAGCTATATCTCTTGCCACTCTCAGCCTTTAAACATTTTACTACATTTATTTATGGGGGGGGCACCGCACACATGTGCCACAGTGCACATATGGAGGTCAGAGGACAACTTAAGTCAGTCAGTTATCTCCTCCCATCATGTTTGCCCTAGAAATTCAATTCAGAACATCAGGCTTTGAAGCAAACATCTTCACACACTGAGTAATCTCAACCCCTCCCTGCCCTTCTTTAAATTTTATTTTTGAGGCAGAATGTCACTAAATTAACCAGGGTAGCCTTGAACTCACACTATAGCCTAGGCAAGCCTTGAACTTTCATTCTGCTTGTTTCAACCTCCAAAATGCTAAGGTTACAATATAAGCCTGTTCCTTCCAGGGCCCTGTTTATCTGAACATTTTTCAGAAAAAAAAAAACAGGCTTAGAGGTAAATGCCATCTGCCCTGGGTGTGCATAGAACATGACCCAGCTGATTCTCTCTTATCTACCCCTGTAGACCCTAAGGGTTTCTTCAGATGCCCCCCTTGAGCAATGGGTATGCCTGACACCTCCCCCCTCTCAAACCTACTTCTGAATCACTTCCCACACAATGCCACTTCCCTTTCTCACTTCCCTTGCACTGACCTCCCACACATACATGCTGACCACAGGAACCTCACTTTTAGGAAAGAGGTGGGTTTTCAAGAAGGAAGATGAAGCAGTTGCCCTGATGCCTTCTCCTTGATGGACTACTTGAGGAGAGCTACCCTCATTTAACCCTTCTCCAGTACCCCATTGAAGGTGATCCTGTCACTATAATCAAGAGTGCATTTTACAGGTAAGAAAATGAGCCAGTCGTGGTGTAACATTCCTGTTCAAGGCAAGCCCAGTCTGCAAAGCAAATTTCAGGCCTGGTATGTCTACATTATAAAACCTTATCTCAAAAAATAAATAAGGAAAACTAAGGCTCAGACTTTAAAGTGACTTGTCTAAGGTAACATACCTAAGTGGTTCTTTAGACTTTCAGGCTCCAATGCCCTTCAGTGAGAATTTGTCTCATATGCATTATTTGAAAACTAAGATGTTTCTGGGTGGAGTGGGGTATTAGGTGGCAAAGACTTGGTGACAGAGCAGGACCAAGGGTGACACGGGAAATGGAGAGGGGAGAGAAGAGGAGGAGGCAGAGAGCTCAAGGGAGAGGTCAGAGCTAAAGAGGTCATACCCTCCCAGTTCCTCCTGCCCTAGGTTCCTCTTTCCTGAGCAGATCAGCCCAGATTAAGAAAGGCCTCTGCTCTGGAAGAAAGGACAAAGGCTCAAAATCCTTGCTGGAATGCAAGCTCCTCCATTGCCCCTGCTGCTACTGCTTACCCTCCCAGCCACAGGTGAGTGGGTGAGGGCTCAGATGTCCTCCCAGGGATGCCCAGGACAACCACACCCATTCCTCTCCCCTGATCTTACAGGTTCAGACCCTGTGCTCTGCTTCACCCAGTATGAGGAGTCCTCTGGCAAGTGCAAAGGCCTGCTTGGGGGAGATGTCAGTGTAGAAGACTGCTGTCTCAATGCTGCCTATGCCTTCCAGGAGCATGGTGGTGGTCCCTGTCATGCATGCAGGTTCGGGGGAACCTAGGCTGAGCCCTGTAATCTAGAACTGTACTCTCTTTCCTTGGACCTTCTAAGAGTGCTCAAAACCTTGGCACTGTTGTTATTTGGAGCTCTTTGTTGGGGGTATGAGTTCTGATCATTGTTGTTTATTTTGTAACATACCTGACTGTAACGAGTATGGGTTTTTCCTCCAGCCTCCTGGTCTGGTCCCGCCGCCACGCCAGCCCCAAATAACACGCTGAGACTCTGTATTTGGTATAATTCTGTTGGCCAGGTACTAGTTTCTTATAGGCTAGCTCTGTCTTAAGTATTAACCCATTTTTGTTGATCTATGTATTTCTCTTACCGGGGAGCCGGCCCACATTTTGCTTTCTCCAGACTCTCCATCTTGGCTCCTCCTTCCTCTTTCCTCCTTGTCTCCTAGTCTCTCCTATCTCCCTTTCCTATTAGCCAACAATGCTTTATTCATTAACCAGTATGAGAAACATATATACATAATGGCATCTCCCATCACCTGACCTTCCCCTAAGTATTTTTAACAACTCCCTCCACTAGTTAACAGTAGGAGTGGAGGTGTGTCTGACTTTTTTCACCTGCTCCTGAGACTCTTTTTCTCCTACTGGGTTGCCTCGCCCAGCCCTGATATGAGGGTTTATGCCTAGTCTTACTGTATCATGTTACACTGTGTTTGGTTGGTATCCCTGGGAGGCCTGTTCCTTTCTGAAGGAAAATAGAAAAGACACGGATCTGGGTGGGAGGGGTGGAAATAGGGGAAACTATAATTGGAATGTATTGTATGAGAGAAGAATATATATTAATATGACAGCCATAACTAGAAACAGCCAAATGTCCCCTGGTGGAGACCACATCAGCCCTCATTGAAAAGTACTACTATCAGGACTTCTGAAACCATTACAGACAGGGTACAACTTGGATATTTTTAGTGGTAGCTCTATTCTCCTAACTTATAACAGATCATACTTGAGTGCTTATTGTATATAGATCCATCATAGGAATGGAGGACTTTGGGCAACTTCTAAGGGCAATGTTCAAACCTTTAATTGTAATGACACATTCATTGTGCAATTCCTCTATGGCAGTTTGATCTCTGAAAGCACCTCAAGTCTCCTAATCATGATTTCCAGTTTATATATGTTGACTCTTACTATATTGTAGATATATTTTATGACTGCATAAAGATATTCTTTATGACAGCTGGGTTTGGGGATCTTGGAAAGCAGCTCTGGCCCCTAGTCATGCTAACAGTTGGTGTCTCTTTAGCACCAGCATGCATACCCAGTTCTGTGCAGGAGGCTAAGCACAGCTCTAGGATATTTCTGAAGAGGCCTCTGAGCTCCTGTTTACCAAGCACTTCCTGTCTGCCTATAACTGTACAGGGTGGTGACCTATTGGGTTCTTGGCAGAAGTTCTGGTCTTTTAGTCCTTGCATTTGCTTATTGTGTATGGCTTTGTCCCTGGAGGATTTCCAGGGCCCTTTTCATAAAGGGAAATGAAATTGATCATACACTTACTGTATACTCACCTCTTCCTGTTCAATCCCCCACCATCCTTAAGTGGTAAGTAGTCTGTCATTGATCCATCGTGAAGCCCTCCTGTGCCAACCTGTACTCTTTAGAGTCCCACATGCAATCTTGTTAGTTCATACCAGGATGGAACATGGGCTCCTCTCTGTAGGTCCCCACGATGGTCAACATGGTCCTCATGGGCCCCCTGCTCGGTTACATGCTCTGAGGGGTCCCAACTGCGACACAGGCGCTGTGTGGGCAGAGGTGGGCAGTGCTCTGAGAAGGTGGCTCCTAGGACCCTTGAGTGGCAGCTTCAGGCCTGTGAGGATCAGCCATGCTGTCCAGGTAAGAAAGATCGGCAATGTGGGTATGGGCCAGAGGAATCAGTGCAGAGGCCTTGACAAAAGCTCTGTGTGGCTTTAAGGAGAACTGAGGAGGCTAGGATTGCTGGAGGAGAATGCTTAGAAGTGGTGACATTGACTTTAGTCTGAGTAATTTGGATTGTGGGAAGGGGAGAAATTCATTTTTACTTAATTTGGGAAGAGGAAAAGCCATATCTGAAGGGGAGGAACAAGTATGAAGGTCACTGTCATAGGGCCAGATAAGCAAGCAGGTAGGGCAGGAATAGGAACAAGAGATAGGAAGACAGAGTTAGCTTATGTGGGACATACATGAAAGGAAGAAATACTAAGTTTCACCCCCTCCTCCCATCTCTTTTTCTCCCACAGAAATGGGTGGTTGGTCTGAGTGGGCACCCTGGGGGCCTTGCTCTGTCACCTGCTCCAAAGGAACCCGGACCCGTCAACGAGTATGTGATAATCCTGCTCCTAAGTGTGGGGGCCACTGCCCAGGAGAGGCCCAGCAATCACAGGCCTGTGACACTCAGAAGGTCTGCCCCAGTGAGTAAAGGCAGCCACCTGACAGACAAGAGATACCCAGGATGGATCTGGTGGGTTAGAGCAGAAAACTGCCAGGGAGAAAAGATTTGCCCATGCTTGAACATATTTCATACCTCCATTCCTACTACAGCCCATGGGGCCTGGGCAGCCTGGGGCCCCTGGAGCCCCTGCTCAGGATCCTGCCTTGGCGGAACTGAAGAACCAAAGGAGACACGAAGCCGCTCATGTTCTGCACCAGAGCCTTCCCATCAGCCCCCTGGGAAACCCTGCTCAGGATCAGCCTATGAGCATCGGGACTGCATTGGTCTGCCACCCTGTCCAGGTAGGTATGTAGGGATGAAGTCAATGGCACACAGCTAATGGAGCTTTGGATTTCTAGCAAAGATACTGGGGCATTTGAAGACAGTTTATCTAAAATGTCTAGTGGTGGCAGGGAGGGAAGCTGGAGAATATGCATCATTAAAAGTGGCCAGTGTTTGCATTTTTCTTTCCCACTCCAACAGTGGCTGGTGGCTGGGGACCTTGGGGCCCTGTGAGCCCCTGCTCTGTAACCTGTGGCCTGGGCCAGACCCTAGAACGACGGACATGTGATCGCCCTGTACCCCGTCATGGGGGACTCTTCTGTGCTGGTGATGCCACTCGTACCAACATTTGTAATACAGCCACACCTTGCCCTGGTTAGCAATTCAGTAGACACCATTCCCATGCTTAAGCCCCCTGCTCATAAGTGCTACCCACTCCTGCTGCCAAAGCGTTGCTCCTTCCTCTGATTCTTTACCTCCTTCCCTCATGCCTTGGTTCACCTCTGCTTCTTCATTCCCACATCTTTTCACTCCCACTCCCTCCCACAGCCTTCATCCCTTTCCCTGAGGCCCTTGACTGGCTCCAAACCCATTTGCCCCTTGTCTCTACAGTAAATGGGGAGTGGGAGAACTGGGGAAAATGGAGTCACTGCCACCGTGTGAGCATGAAGTCCATCAGCTGTGAGGAAATCCCAGGCCAGCAGTCACGTACAAGGAGCTGTGAAGGCCGCAAGTTTAATGGACAGAGATGTTCTGGGAATTACCAGCATATTCGACACTGCTATGACATCCATAACTGTGTCTGTGAGTAACCCACAGATAATACTGTAAGGGTGAGCAGCAATGCTAGAAATCCTGTGTCCCATCAGTCTCCTTTTCCCATTGAGGCCTCTAGTTTTGATTATGTAACACTCTACTCCCGCCCCCTTTGCAGTGAAAGGTTCATGGTCACAGTGGAGTTCCTGGGGTCTGTGCACACCACCATGTGGACCCAACCCCACCCGTGTCCGCCAGCGCCTCTGCACACCTTTGCTTCCCAAGTTCTCGTGAGTTGGAGACATTGTGTTCCTAGGAGGGGGTCATAATGCTGAAGAATGAGAAGGGAGTTGGTTACACTGAACCTGAGCTTCACTACTGCATCATAAGTGCCAGCTTAGAAAAGAGGAGAAAAAGGAAGAATAGGCAAGGCAAATAGGGTATACTTCATGGTGTCTGTGCTCCTTGATTACTAATGTAATCACTCAGCTGTGCTTCAATGCACACAATCTTCCATGTGGCCTTCAGCACTTTTACTTACTAAGTTACCCATGCCTCCACTCACCCACTCCACATTTCATTGCCCTGAGGTACTCCAAGCACTTTTTAGCAACAGTTGAAGATAAAAGAACCCATATCTATGGACAGAAGGACCCAGGTGAAATGAACTATGATAGAATCCATGTAAAAGTGACAGGTAAGTGGCAATGAGACTGTCAATACCCTATGAGCCTAGAAAGCTAATCAGACCTTTGCAGTGGGATATTCACTTTGTCTCCTTCTGTGGCACTGACCACACCCATTGGGGGTAGAGCTAGGGGCTGAAGTGACCTGGGAATTAGGTCTGAGGAGGAGCCAGGGAACGCTCTCTTGCTGGTCGTGGAGAGGAGAGCATCTGGTGGAACTTGCTGGTGTTCATCTGTTTAGGTTGTAAGTTATTTCTCCCTGAATAAACATCTATTCAGCCTATTTGTTTATCCTGATCCTTATTTAATCACAATAGACCTTTTGGGGCAGACAAAATCAGGAGAAGCATTCCTAACATCCAAATTGTGAGCAGGGTCCTGGACAGAGCTGGTTAATCACCCTAAGTTTCCTGGACACCACAGTGGCCCAGGGGTTAGAAAGGATTAAGCTACCCATCCTTTCCTTAAACCAGAGGTCAAGGTTCAATGGCCTTTTCCCAGCTAGTGAGAGGCCTGTCATTGGGATAGGATTTCCCAGCTATGTGGGTCAGATTGGTTCCTCAAGAGGCATTAAAATTATGTAGAAATGAATCAATTGAGAGAATCTGGGTGAAAATGAATAGAGGACTTGCCTACTAGGAGAAATCATCCTGTCAAAAACCTGCCTGGATATATGAGCTTCCATTTGGATAAAGTGAGTAAAGATGGAGAAAGGGGAAGGAGAAAGAATGATTTGGGATAGGAATTTAAGGTGAGTATGAGGAGAGAGAAGGGTATGAGGGTAAGGGTATTCTTATTGTTGCCATTTCTTAGATGAGGGAAACAGGCACACAAAATCATCTTTCTTGTTTATCAGAAATAGCCCAATATCACAGCTAAATGTAGTGTTAGGTACACAATTGTTAATTTAAGTGGGGTGGTGCAAACCTGGATTCCTATGAGGTATGGTGAAGCATGTGCCTACCAAGTACAAGGCTGTAAGTTTAATACTACCAAAAACAGGTTTTGTTATGAGACTTGCTTGTAATTCCAACATTGGGAGCTAAGGCAGGGGGAGGGGGGATTGAGTTTGAAATTAGACTCGCAAAGTTTTTTTAATGCATTCTTGCCTTCGCTGAGCTCTCCTCCATTGCTTCCCCAACACCCTAGGCCTACAGTTTCCATGGTTGAAGGTCAGGGTGAGAAGAATGTTACCTTCTGGGGGATCCCACGGCCACTGTGTGAGGAGCTACAGGGGCAAAAGCTGCTAGTGGAAGAGAAACGGCTATGTCTACATGTGCCTGCCTGCAAAGACCCAGAGGAGCAGAAACCCTGAAATCCCTTGCTTCCATTCTGACCCCTGATCTTCCAGACCTCAATAAACCAGCCTTTCTCAACTCTTCCAAGATCCCTTAAAGAAGGGAGAAAAACTGTCCCCCTTCCTGGAAGTGAGGCAATAGAATTTTCTAGAGCAAAGTAGTATTGGCCTGTTGTGAAATGTTCTGTTTTGTTGTGTTGTAGCTTGGAAAGCTTGAAAGCAAGTATCCAGCCCCAGCCTGTTTTTGCCATGACTGAAAGGGGGTGGGCTGGGAGACTGTCAACAAGGTGGGTTTTGTCATTGGTTGCTCACCATGGCTATTTACTTTATGAATTTCCCTAGGTTCCCACCCACTCATCAGAGTCTCTCAGCTGGCAGATCTGCCAGAGTGGTGAACTGGGTGGGATGTGACCAGAGTTGGCACCCAGCTGAGAAAGCACCTGCACCCACCCACTGAAAACAGCCTAGCTCCAACACCACAATTACGAATAACAAACAGCTGGGGGAAGAGGCACTGAGGAGGTGGCTATGATGTACTTTGAGCTGGGGCAGGAGCAAAGAGAAGCTAGAGTTAATGTCAGCCTGGAGGAACCCCAAGATAAACCCAGATGCATCTTTTTGTATTTATTCATTTTACACGTAGGTGTCTACTGTATGCTAGAGATAAATAAGTCTGAGCATCTGGGCTGGAGGAGGACTGGCTTTCCATAGTATGGATTCATTTAATCCATGATGAACCCACGAGGCTCAATATTATCCCCACTTTTCAAAGGAGAAACTAGAACATAAAGATAATAAACTGGATGTTTTTGAAGCACCACATTGGTGACACTGTGTTAAGTATTAGGAACAGAGTTTGCAACTTTGTGCAGAGTACTTTGTGAAGAGTACCTTTTTGGTGGGAGATGCTGAGACCCAGAGTCTTGTCAGAACATGTTATGTGGCCCAGTTGATGGGTAGAAGTGAAGACAAGTCAATGAGAACTTGGTTATCTTGGGAAGGCTGAGGCACAGTGAGGGTTTCTAGTTGCCACTTCAGAATGTAAGAGATACGGGCTTGCAAGAAAGTGGAAGCTTGGCTGTGTATGTATACACATACATACACATATTAAGGCTGTTTTGGATGTAAGAGGCTATAACTGCACCAAAACCATGAGGGTGTGTGTGTGTTTTCACTCACACTAGGGTAACATGGTTAGGTATGTGTAATGGTTACAATACTGGCATAAACACATGTCAGGGGTGCGTGCTAAAGTTGTTACTCAGCAACACACAAGAAATGATTCTCAGACTCTTCTTATGCCCATTTCTTTTGGAGAAGATGGGGTGATTTACCTCTGCCTTGAAGACACACCAGGAGGAGTGGGAGGCAAATTCCTCTAAAAAGCCATCTGCAAAAATTAATTTCTAAAAACGGCCATATAGGAAAAAGGATGGCACTAGGAATCTACAGGTACTAACAGTCAGTGTGTTGCTTAGGAAGAGGCAAAGTCTAGGTGGTTGTGCAAAGCGCTGATTTTAACCCAGAGCAGCCAAAACAGTCTGAAGGCCTACACCTGCTCCTGAGTCACCAGAGGACACCATAGACCATGCTTTTAAAACCTTAGAAATACCCAATCAATATGCAGGGAGTTCCTCATTTAAATTGCCAGAGGGCATCCTGCAGAGGAGAAAGGATTAGCCAAGCAAAGGCCTGGAGCAAGAGATTGAAGCTGAATAGGATGGAAGAGGGAATAAATGATAGCTTGGGAACTTTGAACTTGGGAACTGTAGGGACACAGCCAGGAAGGGGTGGGGAAAGATTAGGTAGAGACATGATTTCTGGAGATGAGATGGTCACAGGCAGGTTTTGAGTACTGAATGAAAGGCATTTCTGGTGGGACTACAGCACTTGCTAAGGCACAGAGGTTATAATACCTCTGCTTACCCCTTTTAAAAATGAAGAGACAAACTAATAAATATTAAGTCATTTTCCTACCATATGGTGGAAGCTGGTCTTGAACTCAACTATGTGACTCCAGATCCCATACAATTAATGGTTTAACAAACCATTGACTAAATAAGGAATGAGGAAATGATAGGCATGGTGATGCACACCAGGAATCTCCTTACTGGAGAGGCTGAGGCTAGCCTGGGCTACATTGCAAAGACCTGGCTTACAAAGTCTTTCAGGCAAGAGACCCCAAACCTATTTGTATATCTCCTGCCAAGTTGAATGGTCTATCATTGCTCACTCATTGTTCACTAAGATAATGATGTATCATTCTTTCCATATCCCTTACTACAACCCCACTCCACTTTGTTATGAATACACTCTGGCACTGGCTGTTCTACCTGCCACATTTACTGATCACAGTGAACATGACTCTGGGGATGATTTGAAGCTGGTGGATTCCCCTCACTTGCAAAATAGAAATTGTATTATCTGCCCATAGGATTTTTTGAGGGTGGGGTAAACCAGTGTATATACAAACAAGTAACTATGGGTTTATAATTTTGTTGTAGCCAACACCTTACAAGTTGTAGCCAAGATCCTACCACTGGATGTAGCCAAGATCCTGTTGCTATGAAGAGGTACCATGACCAAGGCAATTCTCATAAGAAAAAACATTTAATTAGGAGCTTGCTTACAGTTTCAATACTGAGTTCCTTATCATCATGGTGACCAGCACACAGGCTTTCAAAGGCTTAAACTAGCATAGAAATGAAATGGAGCCCAAATAATTGGAACGCAGGGCAGTCTGAACCAGAAAGCTGACCAAGGCCACTGTGACTTAGTTCCTGGAATTTGCTAACCACCTGCAACCTCTACCTTATAAGGCCCTAAGATAGCCAAATACCAAGAAGTTCCAGATGGGGTCTAGAGAAACAAAGAGATAGCTGCAACTCCCATTTGCTTAGGCAAGATTGATTAGCACACCTTGAGGCCTACTGACCTAAATAGTGAGTCCATCTAAAATGATAAAGAGTATGCTAGAGCCCATGACTCTGGTCATGTACTCAATGGTTAGAGGGTCAAGGCCCCTCCCTAAGCTTGTGGGTTTTGCCATTTAAAATACCCAAGCCCTGAAAATGATGCTTCTCTCTAGCCTATGTGCTGAGGGGGCCCATTTGTGCAAACATTTCCCATTCATTAAAGCCTCTTGCGTGTTGCGTCAACTGGACTGGTCATTGGAGTTATTGGGGGAACCAACCAAATGGGGAGACTCCTCATTCTGAGGGTCTTACAGCTTGATACTGAGAAGTAGTTGAAAGCTACATGCTGATCCACAGGGAACAGACAGAAAGAGAGACTCTTGTGTTAGGAACTAGCACCCAGCTGACCCCCGCCCCGATGATGGGTGGGACGCTCATGGCCTTGTCATAGCTACGGCAGCCTTACCTGGCGGCTCAAGCTTTACCTGGCTGCCTGAGGACTCAGTTACGCATGCACAAGCCCCCCTTTTAAAGCAAGCGTGCCAAGCGCGCCACTCTCTCTCTCTGGTTTCCCTTTTGCTCTCTCTTGCTCCCTCTCTTGCCCCCACTTGCTCTCTCTCTCTGCCCCCCCCCCGCTGTTTCTCTCTCCTGCTTTCGATTGGCCACCAGCTACCCCCTCTTCTCTCAATAAACTCCACGTGGGCTCTGAGTCTCGTGGGCTCTGAGTCTCATGTTTGTGTTTTATAGGCATTAGTTGCATCAAAAGAAAAACGCTCTGGGCTTGGCATGGGCTTTTGAACCCTCAAAGCCCATCTTTGGCAATACACTTCCTCCAACAAGGCCATACAATCCTAATCTTTTCAAATAGTGCCACTCCCTGGTGACAAAACATTCAAATATATAAATATATGAGCCTATAGAGGCTGATTGTTCTTATTCAGACCACCACAATTACCTTACTCTCTCCTATGAAAATATTGTTTGGCTTCCTCTCTGCAATGTTTTATATATATATTTATATATATAACTTTATTATTTTATTTTACATGTCAATCCCAGTTCCCTCTCCCTTCCTCTTACCCACTCTACCCCCTCACATGTACCCTGACCACCCTCCCCTCCCATCCTCCCACCCCCATTCCACATGTAGGGCAATGCCATCCAGGTGGGTTCATGTAAAATCTGTCAAGTCATTTGAAGTAGAGACTAGGACTTCTGTCTCTAGGTTAAGGGAGTGTCCCTCCATGGGGGATGTGTCCGCAAGGTCCTTTTGTGCACCAGGAATACATCCTGGTTCCACTGTCTGAGGTCCCTTAGACTGCTCAGACCTTCTAGCTGAGACCCATATTCAGGGGATCTGAGTCAGTCCCTTGCTGGATTCCCAGCCATCAGTCGAAGTGGGGGGCATTAGCTCCTCCTTGTTCAGGTCACCTGTCTCTATGTTCTACAACCAGGTCTTGTCCTCTCTCTGCATCTGGATTCTAGTTTGACTCAGTGTTTAGTTATGGGTGTTTGCTTCTGTTTCCAACAGTTACTAGATGAGGGCTCCATGATGGTGGATAAGTTGTTCTCACTATCAGGAAAGGGCATTTATGCAAAGTTCTTATATAAAGGAAGACAGCCATGGACACTGATGACAGTGGGTTTGGGCTAGGTCCAAAGCAGAGGAATGAAGACATATAGAATAAACATGTGCATGGGGTGGAGGCCATCAGAGCTAGCTAGAGCTGCAGGAAATGTTTTTGCATTGCATACCCAGGGTTTCTATGCTCATCTGGGAGCATGTGGAAGCATGTGATTTCTCTATATGTATATACTTATTAAGACTCTCTGGGTGTTTGTCAATGTGTTGCCTGTGTGTATAATGTGTACTTGATGTGCTCATGTGTGTTACCCTGGATTTGTGTGTCCAGATGTATACCTGGATGCCTGCTTCTATGATGTACATATGCCCTGTGTCTTTCCTTACTTTTCTATGTGTGTTATGCCCTGTTTCCTCAGGCTTTCACCATCAAGGGCAAGGATATGTACACTACCCACGGGTCCACCTCTGCCTGTCTGGTGATGTTTACACCACTCTATCACTCCCATGTCCTTTTTTTTTTTTGCGAGATACTGTGGATGCAGGAAACAGGTCTTGCCAGGAACATTGCAGTAAGGAAATTTCTTTTACTGTGCCCTCTGAGTGTGCCTCTACCTCCCATTCTCACCCCCCAAATGCCTTCATCAGTGAAAATCAACACTGGAAACTGATTATCTAGAGAGGGTAAAGGTGTATGAGAGCAAGTGAGCCTAAGGATCCGAAAGGGGCAGCAAAACGGGGTGGGGTCATGGGGCGAGAGCTTCCTTGCTACGGTCCCGACCCTTCGGACAAGAACCCCACCCCCACTCCCCCAATTGCGCATCCCGTATCCGAGGGGGAGGGGAAGATGATGCGGCGTGGCGCGTGCGCACTGTAGGATTCAGCACCGCGGACAGAGCCTTCGCCCCCGCTGCCGCGCGCGCCACCACCTCCCCAGCACCCAGGGCAGGCTGACGTCACTCGCCAGCCCTCCCCAAACTCCCCTTCCCCGCCGCCTTGGTCGCGTCCGTGCCGCCGTGGGTCCAGTCGGACCGCACCACGGGAGGCTCGAGATAGGGGGTTGCGGGTGCGACCATACACGTTGCGGCGGCTGAGCCTCAGTGCTGCCTCAGTCTGCGGCGGGCAGCAGAGGAGTCGCGTCGTGCCCGAGAGTGCTGCCGTGCTCCTGGGCCCCTCGCGCTGCGTCCCCGCGGCCCACGGACCCACAGCTCCTTGGACCCTCTGCCCCAAGCCGCCACCATGAACTACCTGCGGCGCCGCCTGTCTGACAGCAACTTCATGGCCAATCTGCCGAATGGGTACATGACAGATCTGCAGCGCCCACAGCCACCTCCGCCTCCACCCTCGGCCGCCAGCCCTGGGGCCACACCCGGCTCCGTGACCGCCACTGCTGAGAGGGCCTCCACGGCCGCGCCAGTTGCCTCTTCAGCAGCCCCTAGTCCCGGGTCCTCGGGGGGCGGTGGCTTCTTCTCATCACTGTCCAATGCGGTCAAACAGACCACAGCAGCTGCAGCTGCCACCTTCAGCGAGCAGGTGGGCGGCGGCTCTGGGGGTGCAGGCCGCGGGGGCGTCGCCGCCAGGGTGCTGCTGGTCATCGACGAGCCGCACACCGACTGGTAAGCTGCTGTTGCACCTCCTCGAGAGCCTGGGTCCCCAGATGTTTCTACAGTGAATGAGCAATTATAGAGTGCCACTTGTGTGCCTGGAATCTGACTCTTCTCCCAATTACTTCCTCTTAATGATTTATGCTCAACCCTTCCTTTAAGCTCTGCTTTTACCTCCCCCAAACTAAAATGGGTACAAGAAGCAATTATCTGTTGCCTATACCTCTTCCCTAATCCTCATTCCCGAAAGTCTTTGGCTTCAATATGTACAGAAAGCTTTCAAAGGCCAAATGTGACCTACCTCTGCCCAACTCTTGCCTGGAAGGCCTCCTCCCTACTGAGTCTTGTAAACATCTATTCAGTACCTGCAGTATACCTCACTGAAGAACCCTTCCCTTGGGGTCTTTGCCTTTAATGACTTCCCTGAGCATGTTTCATGCTCTGTTATCCTCACCCCTTGCCCTTAGGCCTTCTCTCTAATGAATCTTGTGAACACATATCCAGTTGATGATGTGTCCCACCCCAGAAAGCACCTTCAAAGGCCTTTCAAATCTGTTTGTAAACAGTAATTGAATAGTGCCTGTTGTGTATTGCACCCGATTCTCAACACAAGCTTTCCCTCTAAAGGATGCTATGAACCTTGACTGAATGCCTTCTACGCATTCCAAGTTTAGGTGCGTGCTCTGAAGGGTCATTATCTGAAGGATCTAAGAGGCACTAAATGCTTGACGTGTACCAACCATCCCTAAACCTACCCCAAACGATCGTTTTCCAAGTGTGAATTCTGGGAACATTTTCAAGCTTTCTGTGTGTGATTCACTGCTAGTCTCTCCTCAATGACCTTTTCCTATAATGAACCTAGATGACGTGTATCAAGTGCTTCCTATATCTCCTGTTCTCCAGACACTTTTCCAAATGCCTTTGGTGGATCCATTCAGTATTGATCGTTTCCCTAAAATGTGAGCCTTGTCTAAAGGTTCTTTCCATTAGTAGATTCAGCAAGCATCTGTTGAGTGTCAGCTGTATATCCCACTCCCAAGCATTTATCCAATGCCTTTTCCTTCGGGGGGCTTCCATCAGCATGTACTGAGCACCTTTGCATGACTCAGCCAAAGATCTTTCCACAAAGGTCTATGACAAGAGTTAATCCAGTACTCAAATATTTAACAATTGCTATGGGTACCATTTGGGTCACTTTTGCAAAAGGCTTTTCTTTTAGTTCCTCCTTAGAGCATTTATGGAGCACCTGCTCTTTACCTTTTCCACAAAAATCTTCCTTGCATAAAAGAACTGTGCTTGCCTAGTTCAAGTTTCTTCACCTCCTTCCCCTTTCCATGGGGCTTTTCCTCCAAGAACTGGTGCATATTTATCAAATAATTCTGGATTCATCCCTAGCCTTTCTCACCAAAGGTCATTTGTGAATAGTCAGTGACCACTGATTTCTTGTTCTCTTTGAGCTCCAGTCTGATGACCTTCCTCCAAAGACCTTTCCTCCCGTGGCTCCGGTGAGCATTTAGGGTATCTTCTGTGTGCTTATGCCTCCTCTTCAGCTACCTTTACTAGTAGTGGATGCAGTCGGCACCAATTTAGTACCTGTTGTGTATGGGGAGTACATTTCCTTTCATTAACCCCTTGGAAAACCTGTCTCAACCACAAAACCTGTCCTCCAAGCTTTCCTCCAATTAACCCAGAACCTGCTATATAAGAATTACCCCTTTCCCATTAGCTTTAATGCCCCCTAGAATTTTCACTCCCCAACCTTAAGCCCATACACCAAGACTAGTATTGTATTTAAGCCAGTCTACACTTACTAAGAATCAATTTTATGAGTTATCCCCAGTCTCCTGCTTCCAGGTTTCTGGAAGTTCCTGCCACTTCCTTAAGAAGTCACACCCCAGAAATTTGTTTCAGTCAAAATTATTGAGTACCATCTGTTTACTAGTTTAATCACCTCTCCCTCATAGGCCCTTGACACACCATCCTTTCTATTTAAGCCCTTTAATCCATTCTACAGATATTTATTGTATACTTTCTATGTAATAGAATGGAGGATGCATTTGTTAACCACTTCTCTATACTAGGAAGAACCCTCCCTCAGCTCCCCTTTCTTCTCATCCCACCCACTACCTGAATTTCCTAGAATTTTCCTACTTATTCCTGTAAGCATTAAATGTGCACAATTTGTATACTTTTTAACAACATCTCGAAATCCAATTTCCCCCATTATTCTAAGGAGATCCTGTCCCCCACACACTATGTAGGTACCTCTCCAGCAGTTCTTCCCCCTCACCCATCAATCCAAAAAAGCACTTATTCTCTTGCTGTGTTCTGTCCAGGTAACCACATTCTCATTGATGCAGCAGGCTGTTTGACTTTTCCTCCAGCAACCCTTAAAATGTGTATTGAGCACAGTTCATGATTCTTTCACTATTAACTGTTCCCCAGGGCACTGTCATTTTGGCTCCATTTGCTTCATTGAACTAAGCAAACGTTAATGAGCCCTGTATTACATATTGGTAGATGTTCCTAATCTGCTCCAACCCTACAGATGGATTATTTAACTGCTGTTTCCCCCTGTTTGTCAAATAAATGTTGGTGCCCATTCCCCTTTCTGTAACTTGCAATCGAATGCCTTCTAATTTTTCTTCTAATCTCCAGCAAACATTTATTGAGTACTTACTGAAATCAGCAAAAGACTCTCCCTCAGCATCTCAGAAGCCCCCATTTATTCCAACAGCTTCTTCAGTCTCTTTCCTCTAGACAAATTGGAAAATATTCATTTAGTGTCTTCTAGGTATATAGTGACATTGATAGGAGAGAGCCTAAGTATATGAGGCTCAATGTGGGAACAGAGAAATTGCAGACTTTCAGAACCTATAAAGCTTTGAGGATTTCAAGTTGGAATAAAAGAGGAATTTTAAAATTTTGTGATAAATGCATGCCTGTGTATGGCCTAAAGCCATCTCTGCAATCTTCACTACCCTTCTTTTTCCCTAAGCCTCCATGCTTTGAAGTTGCATCCTCTAAGTTGAGAGGATTTAATTTTTTTTAAGTGTTCTGAGGCATGGTCTCCCTATGTAGCCTAGGCTGGCCTTGACTCTTGACCTGTGATTTTGCTGCATCCTCCTTATAAGAGCTAGGATTCACAGGCATGTGCCACTACACTCTGCCCCATCTCTACTTTTTAGAAATAATTTTGCCCAGTGTTTTTCAATCTGTAAGTCACCTATTGCCCATGACCAGCATTCTACTTTCTTTACAAAACAAAATAATGAAAATAGAGAACAGAGTATATTTTACATAGTAAGCAATTATGTAATAAGACTGTTATTCCAATAATATATACAATATGTATACTATATATTATATATGATATAGACTACATATTGCTTGTGCTACATAATGACTTTATACTGTATAATGCATCTATTAAGTATAGGATTTCCTTCACAAAATGAAATAAAATAGAACAGGAAATACAAAACTGCTTTGCATATAGTAATTACCAAAAATTTTTTTGAGAGTGAGCCTTGCTATGTGACCTAGGCTGGCTTCAAACTCATGATCCTGTCATCCATCTCCCAAGTGATAGATTACTATGACAAACTGAAACTCTAATTCCAATTATATATGTATACTTATGTATATTCTAGTATACATCCTAGAGACATGTATAGTGTATATTTTATGTACTATATGTTATATAAGGCATATCTGAATCCCGTTTGTCATAAAAACATGTGGCTCTTACATAGTGTGTATGTGTGTGTGTGTGTACAGCATGAGTTATTATGTAAATAAGTATATAGTGGGTTATGTAAACTGTGTTTCTTATTGTGGCTTCTTTTCTTAGATAGACTTCCCTGGAGACAGACCCTTCACCTTCAGCTAGCACCTCTGTTGGTCTCAGTGGCTTACTTGGTGGGTGATCCATTCCTTCATCTTTGAAGGATCCCTGAGCCAGTGTCCCCACACCTGACTCGGACTCTGGCTTCATCCTTGTCTATATACCATGAAAGCTGAACAAGGAGTTCCAGCAGATGTCAAAGTTGATGGTCTGGGTGCCAAATCTGCTCCTTACTGTCCCCAATGTGTACCAGCAACTCTACCGCCTCCTTCCTAGCAATCAATGTTACATTCTTCTGCTAGTGACTTCTCTTTACTTATCAAAAGAAACCTGAAGTGTCCAGGTGTTGATATTAGCTTAGAGTTTAATGGGATTCTTGCTATGTCCCCTGGTAGCAGTGTCCCCCCCTTGGAGAACCAGGACCTCTAACCTTGCAGAACCCTGAGGGAACAGGAAGCACAGATTCTAAAAGTGGATCACTGGGATTGATGGTAAGCTGAGCTATTCCCATTGTGACCTCTGACTTCCCAGACTCATGTGCTCTACCTATTAGAAGAACAGCATATACAATGGTCATGGACTGAGGGTTTGCACTGCCTTTAGGAAAGTAATGCCCATTCTTGCATGGTATCATCTCTAAAATGAGGTTATACCTATGGCTTCATTCTTACAGGCCAGCAGCATCTGGGTGGTGTGTTATGGAACCACTTTTGCACCTCTTTACCTTCCTTTACTTTGTTATGACATGTGTACTTTTGTTTGCTGAAATGTTATATGAGACCCCATGCTGCTGGAAATCAGGTATCATTTAAAACCTTGGACAGTGGTACTTGCTAGTCTTGGTCTGAAAATGAAAAGGCAAACCATATATGAAAACTACTAGTCAAAGTGGATCACTGTTCTTTCCAACATAGAAGCCCAATGCAGTCAGCTTGTCTCAAGTGGCTGGCTAGTCTTGAGGTATGGTGTCATATCAAAGATTCAGTGGTTGATCTCTCTTGCTGGAAGACTGGAAGATATATATATATATGTATGTATGTTTGTATGTATGTATATGTGTATATATATAATCTCTGCTGCTTTTGCCATTTCATTCGTGCACCCATCTGCTAGCACTGGGATGGTTTGTTAAAGGCTGGCTGACATCATCTGGCTGACTCATCCT